GGGGAATCTTCCTTTATTTAAAGAGTTTCCTTGTCTCCAACTAGGAGGTGGCAAAACTATCCTTGGAATTCCTTTGCCATCTCTTATTTTGACCCAGGAATGAAGGACATTTCCTCCATATTAGCCTGCGGAAATTTCTACCATGTCAGCCTAATGGGCAGTGCTCTTACCATCACGTGACTGGCAGCTGGCAGCGCTATAACTCTTAGAGACATAACGTGGGAATGATTGTTCAATTTTTCAAGAATACGTATTTTAAGGGAAATTAGACATGTTAAACATCTAGATGTCCTTTTAAGATGGCCAGACACTATTTTCTGAATATAAAGTTTTCCTGCAAAGTGTATCTTTCCTTTATTCTCTAGCACAGCGGTTCTTAAATTTTAGTGCAAATCAGAATCACCTGGAGGGCTCTTTAGACCATAAACTGCTGGCCCTACCTCCAGAATTACTGACTCAGTAGATTTGGACTGACAATTTACATTTCTAGCAAGTTCCAAGATAACGCTGATACTCTTGTCTGCAGCCCAAACTTTGGGAACCATTGGTCTAGCACTTGGCAGGTATTTGGTCGACTGAGTGCCTTACTGAATAACATTTGAGAATTTCATGGGCGGGATTGTCTTTTCTAGGATGAATTTCAAAAATACAGGAGGAAGAAGGTGATCTGCCTCTCCTTATCCACACTAACGTTTCCTGTAAGCAAGAACCAGGAAGAACCTCTTGTAGCTGACCCCCACTCTGTCATAAACAAAGCAGTATTGAAACCAGAATTAAAAGTAAGTGATTTTTAAGGATACATTGCTATGGGTTTTTGTTTGTTGGTGTTTTTTGTTTTTTGTTTTTTGCTAAAAATGTGAGCATGGAAGTGTTTATTAGATGACAATTTGAATATCGCACTGCTGGGCTGGGAATCACAGTTATGTGTTCAGGAAAGTGAGAGCTGCGTGGGGACCTGCGGGGAACAACCCTCCTCTCCTGCATGGGCTTTTCTTCGCGAGTGATGTCTGTTCTATTACATTTGTCATTGCAGCTACGATGTATCCAAGTGCAGAAAGTGAGGTATGTTTGGGACAACGTGGAGAAGAGGTTTCAGAAAGTTGGGTAAGTCCGGCTTTTTCTCAACACTACATCAGGGTATAAGGGAAGAACATGATTTGTTGAGCGCTGTGAACTGAACTGTGGTGCCTGTCCCGACCACATCCTAGGTTGCTGGAAGACAGCCACTCTTGCTACGACATCCATCACACGTTCGGGCTGGGTCTGACCAGTGAAGAGCAGCAGATCAGGTAGGTTTGTGGTCCTCCCTGAGTGAACTCTGCCAGCAGAAATTGAAATATCAAATGGCTTGTGATCAGCTCTTTATTGGCATAACGCTTCATCAACTTCATATAATCCCAGTTCATTCACTGGCATCAGAGAGATAGTCTAAATTGTTCACATCATAAGCAACCTCGTTAAAAAGGAAAGACTAAAAGAACAATGCAATCAAATTAACATTTGATCTTCTCTTTTAGGGTTGTAGAACTGTCTTCTCTGTATTGCCTTTTTAAAATTTTTTCCTCAAAAAATCTTAAGTCATTTCATAAACATCAACTTCTTAATCCTCTAAATCCTCAGAGAGACAAAGATAACATTATGATTGCATTTTACTTTATTAAAACCTCCCTGGAGATGAAGATTTTGTTTGTTCAATTAGTTGTGTCATTCACCACTGTATTGGCAGCACCTAGAATAGTGCCTGATTCATGGTGGGAGCTCAATACATATTTGTGAAATGAAAGAAGAATGAATGTATTCATGGATCTATTAACTAAATGCTTTTAATATGCCAGGCACTGTTCAAGGCACTAGGGAAGTCAGGATAAATAAGACTTTGTTGTTGTGGTGGCAGAGACATTCACTGATTAACGGGAAAAAAAGACAAAGAAGAGTTGTACGATTGTGAGAAAGATATCTATAGAGGCACACAGGTTAGGAAATAATAGTATAATAGTAGTAGCATGGAAATGCTTATGCTACTCTTGAACTCACAATGATCTAGTTCCCCCTTTCCTCATTTATGATTTGAAGTGGTCAATTCTGGTGACTCTGAAAGGAAACCATTGCAAGCCTTTCCCAGAGTCTTGATAATCGGCTTCATTTCTTGCCCAGTTTTAGAGACATTATCTGCCTGACCTTTTTCATAGTTAAGCAGAAACACTAATTCTCAAGCTAAGAAGCAACCTGGTACTTAAAATACAGATTCTTGGGCTCTACCCTCATAATTCTGATTTAGTAGGTAGGAGCTAGGGGTAGTGGTGAGAGAAGAAATTCTGCATTTTTAGCAAGCACCCCCATCATTTGTAGTCACACTAAGACTGAGAAGCACTGATCTATTGTTGTTTTAAACTTTTCTCTCTGCCTGAACACTGTGAAAAATGAAACAGGCATCTACACTGTGACAATATTGCGAAATGTCTTAGAAATCGTATTATTAAATAAGACTTCAAATTTCAATATATTGAAATACAGAAAATTTTCAAAGTCATTAAAAACATATTGGTTTAATAGCATTAAACACAAGACTTTAAAACATTGATCTAGGACATTTAGGAAGCCTAGTTGATACGTGTAGATATGCTCTGTCTATGCTCATTTCCACAGGAAAGGTTTCCCATCAATGTTGCCACCTCCTGTTTGTCCTTATTTATCAATAAACATCATACATAATTAAATTTAAATCTGGTCCACACAACAAAGAGCTTGACAATCTAATAAGTAAGATAGACATATTCTCCCCAAATATGAAGAATTGAGGAGATAACCTACTTATAAACATATAGGCATATTTTATTTTATGAGCTTATCTATCTGAAGCATAAAGAGAGTAAATAGAATGTGGAGTATTCCCCCACAGTTTTTTCCCTTGCTTTGTAGTGTAAGGCTAAAGCTTAAGAAAATGAATGTGATTGACTGATTGGTTGAGAGATATTAACTTCCTTGAGCTTGCTTGCATGGACAGCAAGGGCACAATATGAGAAATAAAGAAAGGAGGCCACGCAATCATCTCTGATGATGAAAAGACACAGAGTTTGAATACAACTTTCTCTTTAGACTTCCTTGCAACTAGACAAAGAGAGAAACTACACAGATTTACATAGTTTTCACTTTTCAGTGGCAAGAAGCAAATCAGAACATCAGGGGAGATGATATTACCTTGAAAAGAAATTGTCAGAGGGCATCAGGAAGAAAGCAAGATTATTATAGGAGGTTCCCTGCTCCTAGCTCCACTCATTCGTGAACTCAACACAACTTTTCCTCTTAGAACCTACTAGACAGGTCCATGGACAATTGAGGTAATTCTCTTATCTCATGGTAACAGGGACGTATAGAAAAAACCAAACCTATATTATCCCTTGTTCACCCAATAGTCTTCCTAATACAGCAGCTTTTAAGGTGAGCATCTCTTCATTTTCTTTTTATTTATCCCACCCTCTTCTTGCCTCCTTTGTTTAGTCTCCTGAAAACAGAAGGGGAACTTTCTGACAGCAGAGATAGCAGGGACCTCCTAATGGGGTTAGCTCCAGACCAATCACCTTGCTGATAACCCAGCTCTCTGGAAGGCAAAAAAAACTTTCATGGGTAGAGTTTGCCAATTTCTATAATGGGGCTCCTCCAACCATGGCAGATTTCAAGCCACTGATGTGACATCACTGAACATGGAACTGGAAAGAGAGGCTCATAATCGGCTCAGTGATTCTGCAGGGCCAACCTGAATTCTCAACATTTGTCACACCACTGAGCAAAAAGGCATGCCTGTTAGTACCAGAGGAAAGAAATGCCATCATTGCTCAGCTCCAAGCTGCTGGAAGCTGTTCCAGGAGAAGAGAGAATATTGAAACAGAGAGAAAGAAGAAGCAAGAAGGAGGCAGGATTAGGTAGGGCTGCTATGAGACCCTATTCTCTTATTCCTAGGTCTTGTGGGAGCAAAAGTCAGAATATAAATCATGCTTCTGTACCATGGCCTTTATCCCCTTAGAAAGCTCCATCCCTAGGATATGGCCCAAACGTAGACCCTTGCCCATGAGGTCAGTTCTTTGGGAAGGAACAAAGAAGTGTTGTTTGAAATAGAGGAGGCTTCACTCATTCTTCTGAAAGCCAATAAGATGGTCTCAACTGTTTATATTTAGTTAGAAGTTAATAAGTTACTTAAAAATATGACACTTTGCATAGGGAATTTAATAAAAATTAAACCATTGAGATCAACATTCTCTTCTTAGTAAATTGGATTTGTCAGACCCTTGGTTCTATGGGTCTGGGTCCATTGAAAGCATAAAATCCTTAAACTTCAACGCCTTGTTTTGGAGCAAGGCCTTATGGTGACACCAGTGAACCGAAGTCCTGCGTCTGTCTGGTGAAATCCTGGCTGGGATTTCTCCACCCCATTGCTCTCCTCCCTCTGCTGTCCAGGTCCACATGCCTGGGAACGCCCCAGGCACTTGCCCCAAAATGCTGGCTAAAAGCCCCTCACTTGAGCCTGACTTTCTCTGAGGCTATCGGGAAACAAGCTTTAGGAAATGAAAGCTATGGACAGGTCACAGATAAAGACTAATGTGAAAAACGAAATGGCTTTTATGTCATTTGTAAAATGGGGCTTCTCTGTGTAAATGTTTCATTAGAATATGGAAGCAGGTTCAAGCACTGCTCAAATAGAGATTATTTTTCCCCCAGAAAGCAATTTCTTGAAACATGCAATCTTGTTGTTGTTTATTATTATTATTATTATTATTATCATATATATATATATATATATATATATATTTTTTTTTTTAAGCCGAGCCATCCTACCACTTGTTGGCAGCTCAGCGGCTGCTCAGCTTGGGCTGGGTCTCGAACCGCTGTTGCTCAGAGCTCAAACTCTTAAGCGAGCTCTTAACCATCTGAGCCACTTGGCCAGCCCTATTATTATTTTTTTAATAGGAGGACTCTAAGACCAACATACTTGTTATGCTATGCCGCCATACCCAATCATAGCAATTGGATGCCATATGCTATGCATCTATGAATTTCTTGGCTCTCTCTTCTTTTCTAAAGCAGGAGTGTCACGGGAGTGAGGGATTGACTAGCAGAAATACCTGGGGACTTTTTAAAACTCTGTAAGTCTGCTCCCTAAACATTCCAAAGGTCCCAGAAGCAGGTCTGGGTTCCTTGGCTTAGCCTGAACTGTTTGGAAAACTACAAGTCTCCCTCTCGCTCTGTTCGTGGTGTATCAGAATGGAAGCAGAGCAGTCATGTGCACTTTGAAAAAGTTCCCTGGTGATTCTGACATGGTCTTCCTGCCACCTTGGGTACCACTCTAGCCTAAAGTGCTTTGCACACAACAATTATTTGGTGAATAAGTTGATAAATGAATGAATGAATGAATAATCAGAGTGAAAAAGAAATAGACCATTCCCAAAAGAAAGTATTCCAGTCATTCATGTTTGGCTTTTAAGAAATAAATACACTCCAGTAGATTCACTAGTTGTAGGAAACGTTAGTGGTCCTTCAAGTGCAGCTCAGAGCCAGTGCAGAAATTCTCTCCACAACTTTCCTGATAAAAAATTCTTTAACCTCTTTGGGAGAGGGAACTTCTACCTCCAAAGCAACTACAATAAAACCTTGGATTGCAAGAAACGTGGTTTGCGAGTATTACGCAAAACGAGCAAATATTTCTAATACATTTTAACGTGGTAAACAAGCGATGTCTTGCAATAGGACAAAACAAACAAAAATTGTTTCCGGAATGAATTATGCTTGCAAACCAAGGTATTCCTGTATTTCATAATGAATAGTTCTGAATATTAGGCAAGTCTACTTAGTTTTTTTCAGCCTATTTAGTCTTGTGAAGCCACCTGGAATAATTCCTAGAGCCCCTTTTCCCTGCCAGCTCATCAGATTTTAAAAACCAGAGCTTGTAATCTGCATTGTTCCTTGGCACTTTCCTCAGAGACCCAGCTTCAAGCCTCATGTTCCTTCTGGTTGCTCAGCCATTGGTCAAAGCTGAAAGTTCTGCTTGGCTTGCGCTGAGAGTAAGATGAGTACACAATCCCTAAACACATGATATTTTTTGGCAAGAGATAGCGGAAAAGAGGAAGCAGCAATGGGCCTGCCTGGCTGTGATTCAAGCATGGCCCAGATGAGCCCTAAAGAGGAAAATCGACAGGCGGGTATTAAGCTGCTGGATCCCAGTCCTCACAAGCGCTGGGCTCCTCTCCCTCACTAGTAACGTCAGAAAGCTTCTCACCACACAGGGAAAACGGAAGTGCATCTGGCACTTGGCTTGCTGCTTTCTGAACTGATTTTCCACCACCTGTGTGCAGTTGTAATTCCATAAACTGGGCTTTCAGCCTTGTTAGGGGAGAGAGTATTCTAGACCTGGGACACAAAGATCCTCATTGGGTAAGGCCAATATTTAGGGAACATTCTCTGTGTCAGACACCGTGCCTCTAAATACTAGAAAAACAGAGTTGGAAAAACTCCATCCCTGCCATTACAGAGGGTCGAGGACATTTGAGGAGAAAGACATGTACCTACAATGTAGGTAACGATCCAAGGAGGCACGTGCTGTTCCCGAGAAAAGAAAGGTTGTTTAGAGGAGAGAAAAATAACAGTTAACTGTGCCTACTGGAGCAGGGACGACTTCAGGGATAGCTGCTATTTATTGAGCACTTGTCATGTCTTAGACACTTGTATTAAATGCTTTACATATTTATCTCATATGCTACTGATAGCAATTTTATTAGGCATGTATTATCAAGCCCATTTCATAGATAAGGAACCCAGGCTCGACTTTCATTCATCTATTCACTCATTTAACAAATAATTCTTGAATGCATTACCTGTAGTAGGCCCTCTTTTAGGCATTCAAGGTCTGTCAGTGTCCTGTAGAAGCTTATATTATAGTGGATGATACAGTCTATTGTTTGCATGCTTATTAACATGTAAAAAAATAAGATGGAAATTTTAGATGATCAAATGTACTTTAAAAAAAATAAGAAAGGTTAAGGGGATAAAGAGAATCTGGGTCAGGGTCGCTATTTTAAACAGAATTATTAGTGAAGGCTCCAATAAGGAAGTGTTATTTGAACAGAGACCTGAATGAAACGAGGGAGTGAGCCATGCAAAGATATGGGGAACTGCGGCTCCATGTAGAAAAAGTAGAGAAAACAAGGCTTAGCTGGATTCAAACCCAGGTCTTTTTTATCTCAATTTTTCTAAACCACTAGGCTCTATTGTCAGGTTTGGCTTTGAAGGCTGAGAAGGCATTTAAAAAGTGAAGAATGTGGCCCAGACACTTTAAGGAGAGAGAGAGAGAGAGAGAGAGAGAGAGAGAGAGAGAGAATATGACCAAGTTCAGGATCGTGAGAAGTTCTCACCCTTGGCTAACAGCAGGCTATTTTTCCATGGATTCTGCAAAAGAATCCCCAGCACCAACATGACTTGAGTTGTGGTCCCTTCCCAGTGTGAAGTTTAGAGACTTGTGAAGTCAAACACCAGCACACCCCAGAACCTCAGGGTTTTCACCATGTGGAGTCAGAAGACCATGGTTTGAATTCTCTCTAACCATTGCAAGTAATAATTGTACTTGGAAAATCATGCCTTAAGAGTCAAACAAACCTGGGCTCACTCCTTGTTACACCTTAGATCGAAGATCCATCCTGCAGATTTTCTGCACTGGTACTTATGTGACAGAGTGAGAAGTTGAGTTACAGAGACCATGGTGCGAAGCCTTGCTCTGCTTCTTCCTGGCTCTGAGACTCAGGAAAAATTACTTAGTTTTTCTGAACTTCAATTGTCTTTACAATAAAGATGATAATGTGACATCTCATAGGGATAATGCGAGGATTAAAACAGATGATGTATATGAAAGGCTAAATGCAGTTTCTGACCCTGTCGTCTCTGCTTAAAAGTTACCTTGTCATGATTAATATTAGCTTCATGCACCTTTGGCAAACATGTGCCCTGAACGGTTTTTCCTTTTGGCAACATGGAGATATTAGCCCTTTCCTTGGACTATTGTGAGGATCAAATGACAGAATCTTTTGTAAGAACTTTGTAAGTTTTTTAATATTATACAAATACGAGGGCTTCTTTTTTGGTAATGTACATGTGTGGATTTACAAGGTGTGAGGCATGAAGACCATATATGATCTTACAGTTTGTTGGCTTGTTCATTCATGTATTCATTCAGTTCACATACTAAGGGCCTGTCCTAGGTGCTGAGATGCCAGGGTACGATAGAGATGACCTCTAATATTAAGGGCCATGTGGAATGTCTGAACACTTATCTGTGTCTTTTTAGCTGCTCTTAGAGTATAATCACATTATTTTAAAAATAACTCAGAATGCCTTTCTAACTTCATTTTGGCTCTTGAGTTGTACTGTACTTAAGGTATTTTTTAACCAGATAAACAGCTTTGTTCATCATACACTAACTTTCATTTTTAAATATATATTAGTGTTTTAGGATTTGCATATTAATTTTTTACTGAAAGCACAAAATTCCTAAAGGGTAGAGAAGTGAGTTCTGCTTAGCCTGGCCTGTATTCATGTATTAATGAGTTTGTAGGCATGCCATTAATAGATGATCAATCTCCTACAGAAGATTAGTGTGCGGGCCCAATGCCATTGAGGTTGAAATCCAACCCATATGGAAGCTGCTTGTTAAACAGGTAACTGACTCTTTGTTTTTCTTTTTGAAAAAAAAACAACAAAAAAACTAACTCCCATCTTTTACTTTTCACTTTTCTACTACTCAGGGGAATCTTAAGCAACACCTGGTACTTGGATGTGAACAAAATCTGTGATGCATGCAGCTTCTTTTTGTTATTCCCACTTTGGTTTTAGTCTATGCTTTTCCTATCTATTGAGGTTTCCTTTGAAAAGATATTTTAATAAGTATTTAATAAGAATATATCTTTTTGTTCCAGGATTTCTACCTAGTCCTTTTCAATCACCGTTCGTTTTAAATTCAAATCCACTTTAAAAATCTCTTCCCAGAGTGAGGAAAAAGTCCTGTTTTCTAGCCTCCTATTAGCTTGTGTTGCTGACGGTGGTTGTGGTGGTGGTGGTGGACAACGTTATGGTTTCTATGATCTCTTTGAGGATTTTAAATACATTATGTTGGTCTTTTTATATTGCTCTATTATTTCCATTTTCTTGAGAATGACTTCTTCCTTTTTTTTAGCAGGTTTTTGTTTTGTTTTGTTCTGTTAGAGAATATTTTCTTGTGTGCTTTGAAGTAATTTTGTTTTATCTTTTTGGTAAACTCACCGTAAGTGGGCTTGTCCCCCCCTTCAGTTGTCTCTTTCTTTCTGTGCTCACGCTCCCTCTTTGATGTCTCTGCATTTGCCTGTTACTGATCTCCTTGGGTCTCCAGTTGAGAGCTAGGGCCTACAATGGGGCTTTGCACTCTACCCCTTGGGGATCTGTTGGCTGCAGGCCCTGAGCCAGCCTGGGGCTTGGCCAAATTCACAGCTGCATCGTGGCCTCTCTTCTCGCCTCGTCCACCCTCCTCTGGTGAACCACTGCTTGCTGTGACTTTTCTCAGCCTCAGCTCTCGGGCAGGAAAACCCCACTGCTTCCCCTGTTTTCCTCTGCAAGCTTGGGGTTTGTCCCCTGCCACTTATGGGGCACTTTCTCTCTGACTCCCACGAGAACTGTGTTCCAGCTGTCCCTGTCCAGTCCTTGCCTGGAACTTAGTAGGCTGATCACGTTTGTCCCCACTGAATGTTGCATGGTCCCAGTCTATTTCTTTCTTTTTTAAGTGTGTTTTCCAATTATCATCGACACACAATATTATATTAGTTTCAGGAGTACAAAACAACATAGTGTTTTGATGTTTATACACCTCACAAAGTGATCACCCCAATAAGTCTATTATCCATCTGACACCGTACATGGTTATTATGATATTATTGACTATATACCCTATGCTTTATTTTACATCCCTGTGACGATTTCTAATTTACAATGATGGTCATTTTACTTTTGAACTTGGTCCTATCTTTTATAAAATAAATTTTTTATTAGGCTTTTTTTCCTTGGGTACCACAGCAAAATTGACTGGAAGGTACAAAGATTTCCCATATCCCCACATATGCACAGTCTCTGCCACTGTGGAAAAGCAGGCTCGCTGCTTTTTAGACTTCTTTTCAAATTGCCAAAGACTCTACTCTCCAGGTATCTATTTTGAAAGGAGTGCTAGTGTTTTCTGACACCCATTTACCAGGCCTTTAGCAGAAAAAAAGCAAGTAAAACCATTTTTTCCACATTTGATTTCAAAAGAATATTGAGTAAGAGAACTACATTAATTATGATGGTGTTTCTTCTACAAGAAGTATTTAACCAATTTTCTACTGAGTTTGTATAAACTGAAAATCATGTTAACATTAGTGCATAATACACAATTAGAGCATTTTATGCCAAGCAAACAGAGGAGCTATAATTTGTAAGAAAAGCATGGTGCAATGGAAATAATAAGAAATGTTAAGGAACAAAAGCTTTTTTTTTAATGTACAAAATATATCTAAGGGTTTAAGAAACTCTTAAGCTTCAGCCCATTAGCTTATTAACCAGATGTGAGTTCATTTGTAGGACTAAAGTAGAAGTCTATATATTAGAAAATTCTAGAAAGTAGAGGTAAGAACAGTACTGGTTTTAGGTACCATTTTATCTAATTTATAATTATCAGGGTCCTTGCTTTGCTCAGAAGGGCTCTTTAATTTTCGCAACCTGTGTACATCAGGTGAACTCCTCTAGCTCCACTCCCTCAGGATGCCCTCTCTGCTATCATTACCATGTTTCCCCGAAAATAAGACCTAATCAGAAAATAAGCCCTAGCGCGATTTTTCAGGATGCTTGTAATAGAAGCCCTACCCCAAAGATAAGCCCCAGTTAAGATTGTCAGGCAGACATGGGTGTTTGAATACATGTAGATCTTTGTACATGAATAAATGAATAAATGTAGATTGTTGGAGCAAAAATTAATATAAGACCCCGTCTTATTTTGGGGGAAACACGGTATTACTAGTGAATTCAGCAGGACCAACATGGGGAAGTGAAGGAATAAAAAAAGCTGAAGGTATTACCAAAATATACCTGCGTGTATGACCAGCTTTAGTGCTGGCAATACAGTCTGTCCATGATTTTCACTGCAGACTTAGGTAAGACCTTTCTCTTCACTACTCTTCTTTGTTCAAAGGCCTATGCTGACTTGATTGGCTCACAGAGGATCTTGCTAAGACCTATGATATAAGTGTATGTTATTTTAAAATGACCTGGATTAAAGAATCTCTAACTTTCATTGCACAATGTGACTAAATCTGTACATATGATTACATGAAAAAAAAAACCCTCCAATAAAAATATTCAAAGTTGTTTTGATTAAAGTTTGTTTTGAAAAGAGACTGAAGCATATTTCTCTTCCATAATGGATAAATCTATTTGAAAAGGTAAATTGTTGGATTTTATAATTGGTAACATATTTTTGAGTATTCAAAAAGAATAAGAATGATTAATTTGTGGCCATGGCTCTGAGTACTTAAATAATTTTGCTTCCACCATATCACATTCTATGTGATTGACATTGTCTCTGCCAAAATTAATGGTGTTCTAAGTGCATTCTTAAATGTTAGACATTGTTGCATGTTGTAAAAAAATGGAAAATGGCATTCTATAAAGAAATGACATCTTCTTGACTGCTACTAAGGTCCACACAAGTGATCTAAATGCTATTTTTGTCCCTGCAGGTTTTAAATCCATTCTATGTGTTCCAAGCCTTTACCCTAACTTTGTGGCTGACTCAAGGTTACATAGAATATTCTGTGGCCATCATCATCTTGTCTGTTATCTCCATTGTCTTAAGTGTGTATGATTTACGACAGGTAAGAGACAAAATCACAGTTGGATTCTATTTAGTTTCTGGCTGCATAAGAAGCAAAACCTATGGAATTTTCATTGACAGCAAGGAGTTGCTTTGTTAAACATATGTCATAACAAAGAAAAAAGCAAGGGCTTACTAGATGTGGGATCTCAGGAGACGGCCTTCAGGGATACTCGGTAGATTTAAATATCTTTGCTAACCCTGATTATTGACCTAAGGCTACAGTGAATCCTATACCTAGAAGGACTCTGAAGCTGTGCCTGAATATGATGGGGAAGAATGTTGTGATGGGTTAACAACGCCAGTCATACTTTCAGGAGAATGAGTGGCAGCATCTTAACCATGCGTTTTATTTAGTTGAGACTCTTTCAGTTTGCAATGCTAGGAACCCAACTTGAGCTAAATTAAGCAACTCATGTAAGACATTTCAGGGTCCTTTTTACTTTGGGCATAGATGAATCCAGGTACAGTACTCAAACAATGATTAGGAATCTGTTTCTGTTTTTCTCTTAACCCTGCTTTACCAGAATGCTACTCAAAGTATGGCCTGTGGATTGGTGCTACTCTGCAAACTATTTGTTACCTGTCTGTGATTCAATAAGTACTACTGAATTTGAGAGTAGGTGCTTATGAATTTTTTAATAGTAATTTGATATTGCCCCAACATTCAAGTATATGATCATTTTTCTATAAATTATGGTTTAAGAAATAATATTTTACTATATGTGTACTTTACACCCAGATAGAGCCTCTCCATAAGTAGCAAAGATGGCTATAGCAGTCTCAGATATATATTTCCTTCAGGGCCCATAATCTCAGATGAAGAGAAAGATCTTCTCTTTACTAATGTCTATATCAACATCCTCCATGGACCTGGTTGGGCCAGCTGGAAGCAGGAGATGGCAGTGCCCACTTGCTTTCATTTGCTTCCAACCCCTCTTTCTTTGAGTTCTTCTAACTTGTTATTTCAATCTATGTTCCTTTGTGTTGCAAGATATGCTATTTTCCCTTACGATTAAGTGTTCTGCCATTGTGGACTCCAATTTAGTTTTCACTAGATGCTTTATCTGTTTTCCCTGCAAGCACATTCTTAATCAGAACGTAGTTTTTAAGAGCTTCACATTTCCCTTTACCCCTAAGGCCTCTCTTAGACTGTCCTAATTCCTAGACTCTTGTATAAATGCAAAAAAAAAAATCACTGGTTATAGTAAATTCACAGTTTATAACCTTTCCCCCGTCTTACCATTATTGTTCATCTCATAGCCATTTAAAATCTTTCTTTTTAAAAAACCTAGTCTTATAAATGACATAACAACACATTCTGAAATAGTGTTTAGCTCAATGTTACTTATAACTCAATGGTTCCTCTAAGTCTCAGATCCCCACATGCATCTTTCTAGAAAATGTTCTACTACTTTGCTTTATATTCATCACACTGAATCATGAGGCAACCCCCCAAAAATGTCTAACTGTATTTGTTGTATAGTTTTGAAAACTTGACAGTAGAATTAGCTTTTTAGACATGGTGAGCAATGGTGCTTATGTCAGCCTGTCAATTCTATTGAACGTTTAAAACCATAGTCTCAAACTTCAGTCTTCATCCAGAGAAGAGGACGCTGAGATACAGGGAGCTTGGTCCAGATCATAAAGTGGGTTTGTGATAGAGTCAGGGCTTCTGGCTCCTCATAAAATGAAATTCTACTGCATGTGAACTATTTCTTTAGCAGAATGCCCTTTCCAAAGTAGCACCATAGCTGGAGATAAAGTCAAACATAAGTGTGAAAGGAGAGATGAATTCTAGCTCTCAGCAGAGTAAACTCTGGACATGTATATATAATGCAGACATGGAGGTGTTTAAATAAGCTTAACTGAAAGAGACATTCCTCCTCTATTTCAGCCACTCAACAAACATTAGGTCTAGTAGTGGCCTTTTATCTGATGTTAGATCCTCTAAATTTTGAGTTATGAAGTGTTTGATGAGGAATGAAAGAAAGGCAATAGGTATTTAAAGAGTTAGAAAATAGGACATAAAAATGAAAGGTTAGATGAATAGAGATACTTTGAGGGGGGACTAGAAAGGCTTTGTTTTGTTTATTTGTTTGTTTGTTTCTGTTGTTTATGTCCTTTTTTAAAAAAGTGAGTGTCTGAGTGTTTTTCTTCATGAGCTAATTTAAATCATAAAAATATTAACAGGGACTAGTAACCTCCTTTGATGGTGGCAATTCCTTTTTGTCTGGCTGTCAAGTCAGGCTGTCCTGGCGAACTCTGGGCATTCGAGCAAAAAGATGAAAATAGACACCAGGACAAAAAAAATCTGACACATTCTGCTCAGCCACAGTAGGAAATTATAGTGTCTCAAACTTTTACCTTTGTCACGTGATAAAGGTATATAATGTGAAGCCTCCAAATCAAATTTCTAATTTCTGGGTTTTGAGAAATCTTTGCTTTAATGGATTAACTAATTTGATACCTGCAAGCCACTCATATGCTTTCTGGCTTAAGTCAAACATCAGTGAATACAGCTCTTCCCGCCATGTGCTTCATTCTACTGGGAAGACATCTACACACCATCTCTTGAATATATCATCACAAACCATATCAGCGTTCCGAGGAAAAATACAGAACACTCTGAGGACTTTTGGCAGAGAGATCTTATCTAGTCAAGTTAAAAATGTCCTCCTTACCACTCTTATTTGTGTTACTTGACAGTATTTGTTACTTGACACTTTAATAATCAGCTCCCTCAGTATAAGGTGTGTGTGTGTGTGTGTGTGTGTGTGTGTGTGTGCGCGCGCGCGCGCGCGCGCGCGCTCGCGTGTGTAATGTTACAGCTGAGAGAATTAAATGAAACAATGACTTGTTACCGTTGCTGTTTTTATTGTTTCTGGAATGGGGGAAAGTAAACAAATGGAACAATGGGAGGGACACAGAGGTTGAAGGGAGGAGCCCTACACATAACTTGAACAAGGAAGTAGCATGGGAACATCTTGGGACAGGGCTTTTAATTGCCGCTGACTCATCCATTGTGTGACTCTAGGGACTCTCTTCTCCTCCCTGTGCTCACTTTCCTCAGCTGTAAATGGTGGAGGCTAAAGTCTGTTTCTTTAGGTATCCCCATTTTAGGGGTCTACCAGTTTTGCCAGGGCCACCAATAAGGAATGCAAATTAGAGCACCTGAAAACTTTAAAACAATAGTAGGAAACTTTCTGGCCACTAGAAACCAGGAGCATGTGTCACAGACTTGAGTCAATTCCTGTAAGACTTTATTAGGTGTTAGATTAGCTATCCAGAAAAACTACTCAGTCAGGATTTGTACCTATAATAGAAATCGACTTAAACTACTTCAATCACAAAAGGGATATTTATTGTGAATATGAAGTAGTAGCTTATGAAACCCAAGGACATAAAGTACAGAGGGATTTCACCAGGGCTGGACACAGGGTCTTGGGTTACTCTGTCCAGCTTCTATTCTCTGACAGATCTGGAATGAAGTGCACATATTTTGGAGCAAGTGCTGCCCTCCCTCACCCAAATCCTCTTCTCTGAGAATTGGGGGCACCCAGAGCTGTGGCAGCCTGCAACTAGTGTATTTCCTGTGGCTCTCTCCCGCCACTGGCACAATTAGTTGGTACCAAAGACACTTGACCCGGTGGAATCCAATCCTGCAACAGGAATGATGTCAACATATCTTTCTACCTGGGGTCCTAGAACAAGGGCTTGAAGCTGCTGGTCATACTCTGCTTGGCATGTGATCTGAGAAATGCATAGCTAGGACAAGGGTGGCTCCCCTTGACCCTGTATATGGACAAGCAGAGAAAAAACTTCTGCAGAGAAAGAGAGCAAGAGAATGAACCAAATATACAGTGAGACAAAGATGTGAGCAATGTGCAATACAGCAGAGACAGAGAAGTAACCTGCGCCTCAATGCACTTCCTGTTCCTGTTTGCAGCCCTTGAGAGACCTGGCTGCACTTCCCAATTTAGGTTCATAAGACATCCCGGCATCCTCACAAATTCTCATCTTTTGCATAAACCAGCTTAACTAGTTTCTGTTACTTACAATCAATGAATCCCAAGTAAATGTGATATTACCACTTGATCCATTAAGCCTCCTAGAATGTTTCTACATAGTTTCCCCTGTTTTAAATACCGTCTTTGTCCTACACATTTCCCATCCCTGTGTTTATGACGAATTTCAATCTCTCTTTTAAAATTCTTTTACAATGTTCGTTTCTACATTTGGAACTCAGGTACACCTTTCTTTAAGGAAACCCCAAAGAAATTCCTGTATGGGAGTTAGGGGAAGGTTTGTAGGAAAAACTATACTCTAGAGGGCTATGTTTCAGTGACAAAATTACTTGATATTCCTGAATTCTTGACCTATTAAATCAAAATATCGAGGAAAATAACAAGAACCTGCTCTTTTTAACTGTTTCCTAACAGATGATTGTATGTATTCTAAAGGTTTACAAGCTATTGTTTTAGAAGAACATACCAAAGGAAAAATTCAAGTACTAAGATCCCAAATACACCTATCTATCTATCTATCTATCTATCTATCTATCTATCTATCTATCTATCTATTGAACATATTTTTTCACTCATTTTACTCTGTAAGATGCACAGAAATACAAGTTCATGTGAAGACTCACTTATGTATTTATTAATTTGTGTTTTAAAGCAGGACCTTACTATGAACACTAATCTGGAACTTGCATTTTTTTTACTTTATAATATGTAAAATGGCCACCCACCAAGTAAACAAATAATTCTAAATCATGTTTAAAAGTAATGGTGTGATATTCTACAGTACCATACCATAATTTACTCAACCATTCTCTTATTTATGGAAAATAATGGGTTTCCTCTCCAATTTTGCCACCACAAATATGTTGAATTAAACATAACTACAATATGTGTCCTCACATATTAGTTTTTGCATTTTTTTTTTAGCAAAGTAGCCAAAAACCAAGTTTCTGAATCAAAAGAAATATATTTTTTGGATACTATTAGATACTGTGATATTATTTTCCACATAGCAAATAATTTATTCTCCTATCAACAACTTATGAGAGTATTCATTTCCCCAGATCCTCACCTGTATTTGGCATTATATATTGATAATTAATTTTTTTCAATCTAATATGTTTTTTCAAAATTGTGTCTCAGTGATGTTTTAATTTATATTTCCCTGATTACTAGTGGGAAAGACTCATTTTTCTTTGTCTAATAAAGATTTGTATTTTTCTATTTGCTGCCTCTTTATATCTATTATATATGTGGAAGTTTTATTTTTTAGTGTACCTTTTTTCTCTTGACCTTGACTGTTGTCAGGTATTACAAATGTGTCTAGTCAAATATATTTCTCTTTTCTTTGTGGTTTCTGGGTTTCCTGTTTTACTTATAAATGTTTCTTCTAAAATTAGGCATTCTCTGTTTTTTCTATTTGTAATTTTCTTAATATTTATTTTAAATTCCTTAATGGAATTTAACATTTAGGTTCTACATTTTAACAGAATTCCTAAATGACTTTGCTCAAAACAGTGACTAACATGGAAACTTCAGATTTGATGGCACTAATGCAGAATATTTCTTTAGAAACAAGATACTAATCCCATTATCAGTTAGTATTTGTTAATAGAAGCTTATCTGACCCAGCCTGTAAGGCATCTTGTAACACTATACAAAATGAGCCAGTTTCCTGAAACTGTATCTCTGTAATTTAAATCACAAATCCTCAACAGCCAACATCTGTTTAGCACTTTACATTTTGCAATGGGCTCCCACATCCATAATGTATGTGCTTGTATGGGGCATGGCAAAGTGTAAGCTGGTACACATACCATTATTACATCCTCCCACTCCCTGACAGGGAGGGACGGGAAATCAGGGAGGTGAAGGGACTTGCTCATGCGCACTCGTAGACTTTAGTGGCCATAGAACTTGGTCCCCGATTTCCTGACTCCATGTCCGGAACAACACACTGTCTGTCCCATTGAGCAAAATCTCAGAGACCTGTGAGCTTCCTGTAAATGATTGTTGGATAATTTTATAACAAAAAACAGATTTGGGAAAGGGTGTTGGTAGGAATGAAAGAGGGAGCATCTACTGCCATCTCCCAGGCATGCTAAACAAATACATGCTTTTGAAAATTGTAAGAGGGGAGCTGTTGACAGAAGTGGAATAAGATATGCTCTTGCATCTACTGTAGCCCTTAATCATGCTGCACAGATAGGGCTTACCTTGCCTAAGCCAAGAAACACCCTGTCCAGTCCCTTTCTGACAAGTTTGGTGTAGGTTTGAGTGAAACCCTTGACACTCAACTATATTTCCATTGAACTGTATTGCATACTCCATTGCTGGCTCCATGGGGAACTGCTAGAAATAGCACTGAGAATATCTGGCCCATGATGCTTCATTCATGACTTCATGGGGCTCAAGAGACACCTGAGTTAATGCCCTCATTACTCATCTCTGGAGGAAATCCAGCCACAGAAACATAAGGACACATAGCAACAGATGCCGGATAATGACGCTATGCAAATTAGTCTTCATAACTGATTCTGGTCCCACTGAACAGGGACTGGGGAACCAGAGGGTGCCTAATGAAAATCAGGCAGGGAGCTTCGAAATCATGGCAAGCATCGCAGCACTCGCTTTCTCCTAGCTAGTTGGTTGTCATAGAAACCTGTGTTTGTAGAGTTTCTGAGTAAATTAGCTCAAAAAGGATGCTTACATTACCCTATTCCAGTGTTGTTGGAGGAAGTAGAATAATTCAGTTCTATGAAATAAATATTTGCCAAGGGCCTACTATGTGACAGACTTCAGGGGATACGTACATGAATAAAATACATGGTCTCTTCTTTGAACCACCAGACTTGCAGGGTAGACCTGACAAGAAAACAGATAGCTGTACTGGAATGTGATTAGTACAGTAATATAGGTGGGGACGCAGAGAGCAGAACAATTAATTCCTCCTGGGGATGTGAGGAACTTGTGGGGTGGAGGTGACATTTGAGCAGGGCTTTCTGTGAAGGGTTAGAAAGAATTTGCTAGTAGAAAACTGTGGTGAACCTCCTAGGGAATAGCTTGAGCAAAGGCAGGGATGCATGGCAGCTCACGCAGAATGCTAAGTCTGATAAACAAATCCAGCTTCATGCCATAATGAGTTCTGAGAATTACAGTCAAGCGTTATTAACTCATACTTCACCACTCCAAATGTGTTGATTATCATCCTCTTAAGTTAGGCTGAAGTTACCATGGCATTGACTAAAAGGGTTTGCTAAGCAAGAAAATAAAGAAATTTATAAGGAAGGGTATTTGTCTTCTTAAAAGAAAAAGAGCTGCTTTCAAGCACTTTAGGAGAGCATATTCATCAACAGAAAAGGCTTTAGCGTCAGATGAACCTGGGTTTGATTGTCGATCTTCATACTTTGTAACTAAATGATTGTGGACAAGTTACTTTAACATTTTTAAGTCTCTGCTTTTTTGCTTTGTTATATGTACATTGGAGATAATAACGTTTTCATTATAGGATTACTTTAAGGATTAAAAAAAAATCAAGCAGTATATTTCAAGTGCTTGGCACAACATATAGTTGCTTAATGTTCTAAACTGTTTTAAAAAGAATAAGAATTTGAGTCATTTGTATACCCAGGTATTTCTTCTACAAAGCCTTGGGGGTTTTGAATAAATCTCTGATATACAAAATAAATCAGTATAATGCCATTTTAGAGCTTGAAGGGAACTTGAAAGTGATCCAATTCAATGTCATCTGTCTACAGAGAAAACAACTACCTTATAAGGTGAAATTTCTTATATACAGGTACATAGCCAGTTAGTGGGTAAGCCTGACCACAACTCAGGAATCCTGACGGAGTCCTCAGTTCTTGCTACAGAGCCACTGCTGACTTTCTCACTGGTATCCATCATTAAAATGGATGCCCCAGCAAGCAAGCCTCAGGAATCCAAGTTAGGGCGATGAACATGTGCCTAACAATAATATCGCTTCTTCCACTCAATTGGTCCAAATGATAGAAGTTTAGCTTTTCATGAAAAATTGAAGTAGACAATGAAGTGTTCTAAATAAATATTAACACAGAATTCAGAATTCATTATGTTCTCTCAAGAGGAAAGTTGCATAATTGTGTGTAATGCTTGTCTTAGCCTGGTGACATTTGTAATGTTAAAAATCACCCACAGAACAGATAAAAATAATTTACCCTAACATCTAAAAGGAAAAAAAAAGTATTTGAATTAGGTTAAATTGTATGTAAGTATTGCTGACAGCCTTCAGACCTCTATTACTTAGAGGTATCCAAGTAACTGACACCCACACAGAGATGGGCAGTGCCTTCCGGGGACGCCCCAGCTGGCTCAGCACCCCACTCCCTCCAGCTGGTGGTGCCCCCTACAGTCAGTGTGGGGAACTGTGTGGACTACATCCCCTGACTCTTTCTCCTGAGTGATCCTAGGAGATGCTGTCTCCACTTCCCCAGACTGCTTCCATTTCCTCTGCTTTGCACAGGGTCATACCTCAGTGAGTTCCTCCTCAAGCAAGTCTTTCCCGCTGACGTACTCCGACAACTATTTTTCCCACAACAACTTTCTTATTAATCGTTAACACTCTTTGAGCTCTTACCATAGTAATGAGTACTATCCAAAGGGATAACAAAGATAAGAATGAACTAAAACAACCCTATAAAATAGATATGGTTATTATTTCCACTTTCAGATGAGGAAAAGGGGACTTAAACAGGCTAATTCATAAGTAGCAGCATCAGGATTCCAACAAAGCAGCATGACTACACTCTGCAGACTTACCCAATATGAAAATCCACCAGTTGACACAGGAGGGGATGACTGTTCCACATACAATCAAAACACAACCCAAATATTCACAGCCTCTTAAAATGGAAAGCCACTTACAAATCACATTCAGTTTTGTTGTTTTCCAGGCAGGGAAACAGGAGCCCAGTGAGGGAAGTGACCTATTTACTCTCTCATTATTCCCCAATCTAACCATGTGTCCTCTAGAAGTAAAGACTGCGCTTTTGCTTAGGTCCCTGGGAAAGAGGCTGTGCATTATGTTTCCTGGGATTGAAATACAGTTAAACTAGTGAGATTTGCTACTGCAGATAGGGGGTTGGATGGAGTAGGTGTTGAGCTGGGAAGCAGGAACATCAAAAGTTGAACTTGAGTCTGTACCCAGAATCAGTTTAGCTGTGACAGCAAATTCGGCGTTTATCATATTGAGATCATGTGGGTTTTGGGTTATGGACCATCTAATATTTAAATGTTGACTTTCAATTGGTAGCAATCTGTGAAGCTGCACAATCTTGTGGAGGATCACAACAAAGTCCAGGTTACAGTCATCCTAAGAGGCAAAGGTGAGTGATATGTGTTCTGCCATCTTCAGCATCCTAATGTTTCAGGGTGGAATTGGTCTCATTTGTTATTGGTTGTTAGTCAAGGAAAAAAAGTCTTTTCTGATTGAACCCAGGACTGAGGGTAAGGTGGGGGCAAACAGGGCACCTGAGATGCAAAATTTAAGAAAGCAAGGTCATGTAAATGCTGGCCTGCATCTACAGGACCCTGAGAGTGAGCGGTTCGTTTAATTTTATGCCATAGGTACCTCCCGTGTCTCACGCTCTTCCCAGCCCTGATTAAACCATTCTTACTCAGTGTCTGGGTTACATTAAACTTCCTCAGCCCTCCATATTTCATTCATTTGAATGTTACTGGGTAAGCCTGGTGCAGGCTTTTTGATTTCCCTAACTAACCATCCCAAACAGACCCTTCCTCATAAAACATTTTGATATCCAGATACATTCTGTGATCCAGAGCCCAGGCCTGAATAAGGCTTGTAATGGCTGGCTGAACACTTAGTATTTGCTCTGACTTAACCTGGGGGAGTGGGAGGTGGCCATGGCTCTCTGTGAGGGCTGAGGAGCTACACCCCAGAGCAGCAGAAGCTGTCTGGAGGGTTTACAAAAGGTCCCAATCTCAGGACAGAGTGTGCTACAGGAAGTTAGGACCCCAGCTAAAGAGAGAAAGCAGCAGCAAAGGGGCTTGATAAGTTGACTAATACGCTTGAGTATCTTCTCTGGGCAGAGCAATGTCACAGGTACTAGGATCAAGAGGGCATCTTGTTGCTGAGCTAATCCTTTTCTATGGCTCAGGAAACAATTCCCTAATCCAGTTCCTGGAAATTTGTGATTGAGTGGAAAGCGCCTGGGGCAGATGAGTATGCAGGGCAGTTCTTGCCAACACGATGTTAAGAGTTTTCAGTCCCTTTCCTTCTTAAGTAAAAAACAGGCAAAGGTCAGAAAGTCATGGAAACTTTGCTGTTGTGTAGGTTTGCAGGAGCTGGAGTCCCGTCTCTTGGTTCCTGGAGATATCCTCATTCTTCCAGGCAAATTTTCATTGCCGTGCGATGCTGTGCTGATTGACGGTAGCTGTGTGGTCAACGAAGGCATGCTCACAGGTAGGCAGTTGTCGCGGAGCTTCTACTCTCCTTCCCACCATTCTAGACCAACTGTCAGCAAAGCAGATCAACATACCCATACTTACCTGCTTTACACCAGGCCTATGCTAAGGTATTGAGAGATTGGTGAGGGAGACACAATGTGTGCAAATAGGAAACATTTACCAATGTAAACATCAAGGCACACTAAGTACGAAACTAGAAGAAAAGTCTAACATAACATGAGATTAATGAATTGGCTGAAGGTCAGGGTGAATAGAGTGCTTTGTGTTCCAAGTAGGAACACATTGACATTGCACAATGTCTTCATAAATATGAGAATAGCTTATACACCTGTCCAACAAAATGCAACCTAAAAAACACCAACTCTCACAATTGGCAGGGTGTAGAGATCTTATCCAGCTCTGCTCTCTATAGATGGAAACATGACCCCCAGGTTTCATTGAGAAGGGGGTTGAGGTGAACCTTCTGGGAAAGGCAGAATAACTGTTCTGTTCTTTAGAATCATTTCTAGATAATCTCATTGAGCAGAAAGCCAGTTTTCTAGTTATGGTTTAAACTGTCCTTGTTCTCATTTGTACTTTGTAAAGTCCCCTTGAATTTGTGTAATTAGTAAGGCACTATTTGCAAAATACTCTTTAGGCAAAAAAACAAAAACAAAAAAAATGCAGGAACATCATAATGAGAGAAGAAGAGATTATACAGCAACACAAAAATAGAAACTATTTGTGTTTTGTGCTTATAAATTGTTGCATATTTTTCTGTTTCCAAATGGCTAAAGACAGGAAAACACACACACACACACACACACACACACACACACACACACACACACACACACACGCCTTTTTAATATCACCTAAATGTAAAGAAACTCATTATCCATTCCTAAATTGTTCAACACAAGCAGATTTCATGTTAAAAATGGGTTTGCTTAATTTAAAAATCTGACATGAAAATGTGGTAAATATAAATATGTTCAGCATAATTGCCATATACCCCTTTAATATGCTAAAATCTAACTTCCTTATAATGATAGTGATGGGGATTTGCATGCTGATCATCTCTCTTACCCAGAGTGTTGCCATAGTTCCCAATGTGCAAACCTCAAGCCCAAGAAAAATTGTCCTCCTCACTCAAAGGCAGCAACTGTCTCATATTTCCCAGCAGCCTGCCAGTGAAGAATCGTGTCTCTTGGTGACAGAGACTGTGGCCGTGAGAAGGCCAGGGAGGACAGACAGTGAGTGGTGTTTGCTCCTCTGGGTCTGCTGACTTGGGTGCACTGCTATTACCTTAATTCTGAGGAAAACTCAGAGAGTTCCAGAGAAGTAGAAATGGTAAATACAGCTGCCTTTCAACAAATGTGTGAAGTTGACCTAAAATGACCTTCAATGGTAAATGGCTTTTCATGGGGTCTGTTTCTGGAAAAATAAGGCATTCATATCTGTGTAATCACCAGCATTAATATCTATGCAACCTAAGTACTAAAGAAAGTCAATTTTAGAGACAGGTACATAAAACAGTAATATATATATATATCTATATCTATATCTATCTATCTATCTATCTATATATATATCTTATTAATTCCTTCTAAAAGGTCTAAGTACCACCATGCTCTAAATACTTTATTACACAGTCTCCATAGATCCTCCCACTCCCACTCATATTTATGAAAAGGATCCTGATGGAACAATCACATTAGGGTTCGATTCCTGAAACTGCAAACATATTCCGAGACCATTTGTCCATAAATGGGACTTAGGTATTTTTTTTCCCACGTGCAAAACCGGCCTTTGCATGTATAGAAGTCTTTATTTATGTCAGAAGAAAAGTAGCAAATACTCCTAGCATCTCTATAGCAATTTGAACTTTATAAATAATTTTTATATCTCATTTCATTGTGGCATAAAACAAATGAGAAGATATACAAGTTTTTTTGTATCCTTGGAAGCAGGCAGTGTGAAGTATCTGGTATAAGTCAGACAGTTCTCCGCATCAATGAGTAGGCCCTCCCGATCCTAGTCTGCTACCTGACACAGTGCAAGGCGTTTGGAAGGGGGATATGGTCCAGGGCAGCTCTTCTCTCTGGGGCCCCCACTTCACCCTGGGCTTTGGAAATGTCCCAGGCCTATCTACCTGGAAAAGGAGTCAGACCCAGGTGCATTTGGTGCTCAGCTTACACAAACTTCTGGAATGTTTCCATACCCTACTTTGGTGCCGGCCCCTCCTCTCAGGGACACACAATATCTAAGTTTTCTGTGGATTTGCTTCCAACCCCCAGTCCAGGGATTTTTATTTAGCTAAAAAAGTAGTAGAGGAAAGGCACAGTGAACAGGAAAAGCTTTGTCCTGACTCTCAAGTAGGGTCTAAAATTCATCATTAAACTTATGAATGACTTTTGAAACCTAAAAGCCAGTTATCATCTCTCCATCCTTTTTTTTTTTTTTTTGGTCTGCCTCCTGAGGCAATGATTTCCTTCAACATCTAGCTCCTCACAAAGCAGTCAAGAGGCAAAAAGGAATACCATGGGGGAAATTCTATTAATATTTTGAAATTTCCTCTCGGCATAACAGCTAATTTTTTTTTTTTTTAGTTTTTGTATGTATTGGACACTGTGCCATCATTTTATATATTTCATTTAATCCACAACTCTATAAGGTGGGAGACTATAAGGCCCAGAGAGGGTAAGTAATTTGCCTAAGGTCACACAGTTTAAAAGTGGTGGAGCTGAGATTTGGATTCATTTGTTTATCCATTCATTCATTCATTCCACAAATGTTTATTAGCCTCTACAATGGAGTAGACACTGCTAAGTGCTGGGGATACCACAGTAAACAAGGCAGATAAAATTTCTGCCCTCGTGGAGCTGACATTTTAATAGAGAGACAGAGAATATGAAAATAGGTAAGAGACATAAATTTCCATCAATTTTAAGTGCTATGAAGAGAATAAAACACTTAAACCCAGGCATTTTGACCTTTCAGCCTATGCTTGTAATTACTGCCTCCTCATTCTCTTAGGGATAATTGTGGGGGAGAGAGGTGGTATTCAGTCTGCCACAATTCCCTTCCCTCTCCCTCTACTCATTAGAATTATTGATTTATTTGAAATGTATGTGAGGGAAGTATGCAGTGACTTGAGGTGGACACCCAGGACTTCCCCTAAGTGGTTATTCCACATTGATATCCTGTCAGACAAGCTTATAATCACTTGATAGGCCAGATCTTCTCCTCCTGTTTTTCTTTCTTTCTCTGTCTTAATCCCTTTCCCCCTGTTTTTTCTCCATTCACTTATTGGTCTATCCATTTACTCAATAAAGGTTCAGAAATGCCCACTGTATGTCAGGCACTGTGTTGTGTGCTGGAGTCACTGAGACAAATGAAGAATAGTCCCTGCACACAAGCATTTTATAGTCTAATGGTCCCAGAAATACAAATAAACAAGAACATGGCACTTTCAACATTGTCACCATATGGAGGCCTCTGGCTGATTGGGGACAAGGGGGGAGAAACTCCCTTTTACAGCAGCCAGCCAAATCTGCAGTTCCCGGAAGCCAACTGAATAGATCATGATGTGTGTACTTCCTTCCGAAACCCTCTTCCGCCTACTTAGACCTTCACACTTCAGTAGGCGAATCCATTCTTTCTGGGGATTCCAAGAAAGGCCAAGCACGAGACTTTTATTAATATGTGAATAGGGTAAAAGAGACTTGAAAATCTTCTCTGTGTAAAATCATCTGATTTGAACCTTATCTCTGGAACACCATCTCCAATGATGCCCATCTCTGGGGGTGGACTAGCCAGCTGCCTGTTCCTGATACTGTTGGTTGTGTGTGCAGAAATATTCACTAACATTAGTCTAATCAAAGGCAGAAAAACATTTGAAATTATCTATAAGTATCTGCTTTTAAAAGGACTGATTTCAAAACAATGTGGTACAGTGATTTGGAGCTTTGCTAAAAGAGTCTATCCTTTTACAAAGACGTTTGGATGCAACTGATAAATCCACACAATGGATGCATTTCATAATTGTTTTAAAGAAAATGACTTAAGGATACTATTTAGCTAAAGGAATTTAGCCAAGAATTTCCTGAAGAATATTCAAGACCACTAATACAAATTTTATAGCTTCTTGCATCTTAGGATGTAAAAAATGCTCCATGGTAGAACACTATTATTTTTGAAAAACCAGTCATAGAAAAACCCGGGCAATTGTTTTTGTTCAATCCAGTCATTCAGCAAAAATATGCATTTTGGACCTATTACATACCAGTAGGGAAAATGAGGAATATAAAAAAGGCATACATGTCAAAGTCCTTGCCCTCAGTTATTACCTGAAGGAGAGATAGAACCTAAATTTATATAACTATAATCAATATAATAGTATTTTCAAATTAGAAATTATGAAATGTCTTGCTAATTGAACGTTTAGCGAAAGACTGATGGAATTTTAAATTCATTCTAGTGCTTTTTAAATCTGGGGGCCAGGCAGTGTTATTAACATTTTTATTTTGTCTCTGCAATGTATCCATTTTGAACTCTGAGCTAATTTTCCTTGTATCTTAAATACCCTGTCTTACAGCCACCAGGGAAAGGAGAGGAATGCTACTGGCAAAGAATGGGAGTCAGCAATAGGATGTGCAGGTGGCCTAGTTTAGCTCAAGTTTGGGTAGGAAATAACAGCCAGTGATGCTCAGAGTGTCACGGCTCTGACAATCTAGCAGGAGAGTTTGAACTTTATTAGTAATGGCAATGGGAGAGCCTAAGCAGCTCTGAGAAAAGAATGAGATGATAAAAGAGGTCTTTGACGGGATTCATCTGGAAGTGGTGTGGGATGACTGAAAGTGTGGGGAGTTGGTGGGGAGAAACCAGTTAGGAAGTGTAAGACAATAGAAAAATTATCCCAGTTCCTGGCACAAAGCTCCTAAAACACTTGTGATAATTTCCTAAGTAATAAGAGCACTATGAGCATCTTTTGTTCTAAGGAGGTGACTCTGGGTGCTTCCTGGATGGGGGCTGGTCACCACAAAGATCAAGCCATGATTAGGAGCTTGGAATTTTCAGCCACACCCCCCACTCCCATTCTCCAGAGGGGAGAGGGGCTGAAAATGGAGTTGATAATTGATCATGCCTACGTGATGAAGCCTCCATGTAATCCCAATAGTAAAGGGTTCAGATGGCTTCCAGGTGGGTGAACACATTCACATATAGGAGGTGATGCATCCCAACTCCTGAGGTAGGGATCTTCCCAGACCTCTTCTTATGTATCTCTTCATTGGGCTGTTCATCTATATTCTTTATCATATTCTTTAACACACCAGTAAACATAGGGTTTGCCTAAGTTCTGTAAGCCACTCTAGCAAATTAATCAAACTCAAGGAGGGGTGTAGTGGTAACCTCAGATTTATTTTTCAGAAGCACAGCTGACAATCTGGGTTTCACAATTAGCATCTGAAGTGGGGTGGGAGCAGTCTTGTGAGACTGAGCCCTTAACCTGTGGGATCTGATGCTATCCCTAAGCAGATAGTGTCAGAATTGAATTGAGTTAAATTGTAGGACAACAAGCTTGTGTCAAGGATTGCGTGTTGTGGGGTCAGAAGTGCATTGAGTGTGGTCATAGTGTGCGACTAAAAGAGAAACATAAGAGGAAGGATTGGGGGTTTTTTCTAACTCGGGAGGTCAAGGAAGACTGTGGCTGAGATACTTATTAATAAACAAGATTCATTAGTTCCACTGTAGCCTCACTTTATCTAGAGAATATGCTTGCACTTCAAAGAACCAAACAAATCACAGCTGATCCATTGTTAATGCAACCACTGGGAGTCACATAGCGCCTGCCAATGATGTCATTGGGACCTAGATGCAAGAGTTCAAGAATGACCCAATGAGGCACACTCAAAGATCAAAGCAGCAGGACTTGGAGAATCATTTCATGAGAGAGCAAAGTATGGGAAGAGGAGGAATCAAGGATGATTTTGAGATTGTAAAACTGTGACTTAGCAAGAGAGTGGTACCACCAAGAAACAGGAAAGTCAGGAGGAAGTTTAGGGATGAAAATACTGATGTGAATTTTAGATATGTTGAGTTGGAGAAGCTAGTGGGATGCCCAGGTTGGGATGAACAGCCCACAATTGGGAAATACTGAACAAGAGCCCAGGATAGAGGAAAGGTGAAGACAGACATTACTAATGTAAGTCTTTAGAGGTGCTAATTAATGGGGGTAAAGCTGAGATCATGCAGAAAAAGAAAGGTTGTCTTGTTATACTGATTTTTATCTTTCGCTGCCAGCTCCAAAATGATCGCAAAGAATATTTTGAAAATTTTATGAAACCATCATTTCTCATTCATTTCTGTACTTTAAGAACTGCTTACCTCTTCCTCACACACAATGTCCCGAACATCCTCAACTTATTCAGTGCCTGGAACACACCATGCTTTCTCTTCTTTATCCAAGAACTCGCTCCTCTTCTCCTTAACCTGGATAGCCTTACTCTCCTTTCAAGTGGCCATTTATTAATTGTCCAAGAAATCTTTCCTGATCTCAGTTTGGGTTAGATCTTCAGATCACCTGCTACGACTACCAAAATACTTACCTTATTGTATTTTAATTAATTATTCTCTGCTATTTACTAGTCTGGCTCCCTGAGCTTTATGAGAGCAGGATTTCTGTCTGTTTTGTTCATTGTTATGTTTCCAGCACCTAGAGCAGTGCCTGGCACAGAATAAGCACTTAAAAAAATTGTTGAATAAATGGATCGATGGGCAAATAAATGAGTGAATGAAAGTCAAATAATAACAACTATACACATTTTGTTTGTTTGTTTGCTTTATTGTTCCTTCATTATCTAGAATTGTGCTGGGCTTAAAGAACATGAGAGGAATAATTGACAACTTTTTGATAAAATGGGCTTTTTAAAAATTATAAAAACAAACTATGTAGGCCAGGTGTGGAAAATAGGCAGATCTTAGATAAATATGTGAAATATAATCAAGTATAACACACCTTCTATCAGCAGCATCCCTAAGAACAGTCATCTGATTCAAGGGATGGGCATCATGACCGGGTCATCTATGGTTTGTATTCTTCCTTAAAACTGTCAAGCACCAGCTCTAAATAACTACTTGAGTTCAACAGAATCAATGAAGTATAATCTGTTTTAGGAGAAAGTATACCTGTTACAAAGACACCATTGCCCCATACGGAGAACACCATGCCCTGGAAATCCCACAGTTTGGAGGACTATCGGAAACATGTCCTTTTCTGTGGAACAGAAGTGATCCAGGTCAAGCCCTCTGGACAGGGTCCAGTAAGAGCAGTGGTTTTGCAAACAGGTTAGTCCATTTCACTTTTTTATACATTTAGTCCATGACTGGAAGTAGGGGAGTTGGATTAGGGGAATTCTGTTTAGGATTATAGAGTTTGTCACGTTTTGGGAATAACAGACACACTTGTTTCCAATCAGATGCTTATTATTCTAAGTTGCCATCATTTCCAGCTGAATGGTTCATTGTAAAACCCTTATAGATGATAAAGCAAAGACAGGGATAAAGTACATTTTTTCAAAGGTAAAACTGTGTTCTTGTTTTTCCTTGTATATATCAGCTTCTTCTCTTTTCCACATCCCCAGAAAACTGTTTCAACCACTATCCTTGAAGATGTTTTCCTTTCAAAGAGTTGCTTGCTGGGTTGTTATTTCAAGGTCCTTGCTGGACACTTCCATCTCGGTTCCCCACTGACACTTCAAAGCTAAGGCCTCTATAAGTGAACTCATCCTTTGCTATCGGCTCTTTCTGTTGACAACATCACCATCTTGCTAGTGTCTTCATATCATTCTAACTCCTCCCATAACAGTAGGGCTCCACATTCTGTCAGTTCTACAAATTCCTCTCCTCCTTCATCTCCTCTCCTTCATCCCCATGGTGGTATTTTGTCCAGGCCTTCAGCATCTCCTGTCTAAAGGATTACAACAGAGATATTCTTTTGACTGTTCCCTTACAACTGTTGCCTCAAATACTTTTTCTTGTATTTTGTTCAACCCTTCGCTAACCTATTCCTCAACCTGCCACTAACTCACATTTATAAAACATAGCTTGAAGCATTCTGTGCACACCAGGCTCAAAAACTTTTTAAGATTGCCAATATTAATTCCAATCATTTACATGACATTCCACAGCCAGCGCCTTCCATGATCTGTCTCAGTTCTCGTATTCACCCCCGGCCTGGGTTTCTGCCACCCCACATAGTCACAGATCTAAAGCACACCCTGCACTGTCATCTCTCTCTCCTTTACTTTAGTCTATGATTCAATTGTTCTACCTGATTTTTTTTAATTAAAAAAAATCAAGTTTTGCTTTATGTTTAAAGTATTCAGTGAGCAGGAGAACATCTCTTAGCCTACTGATAAGTAGAAGCTAATGGGTGGAGATCATGGAAACTGCCTGATCTGAGCTTGTAAAATGTTAAGGCAACAGGTTAGAGGAAACTCTGATCCTTTTCTCTAAAGCCTGCAAAGCCATGTTTGAGGAGACCAGATGCTCATCAAGCAGTGGGGTTAAAGCATGTTTTATACTTACAGTACTGACTCATGTCTAGAATATATAGTAGTAGTCAATCTTAATTTTTGCCAATCACTTAGACATTAATAAGTATCTACTAAATGCTATGCACTGAGGGCTAAGGAAAAAAAAATGTGAGGTACTCCTTGCCCTTAAAGAAGACTGTGGTCTGATGCACAAGACAGATGGATTTATAGCTAACTAAAATGCAAAGTAGTGATAGATATCCTATGATCAAGTGTTGTAGGGACCCTAAAGAATGGGGAAATTATTTTAGATATGAAGTCTAGAAGTAGAATTCTGGAAATATTTATTTGATGAGGTGGCATTTTGAGCCAAGTTTGATAGGATTTAACCAATCATAGCAGACAGCAGGAAAGACATGCTAATTTTTGTCTTTAAAATGCAAAGCAAGGATTGCACAGGGTCTTTCTGGGACCAGTGAGCAGTTAAGAGATAAGTCTAGCAATGAAGGGGTAGATCAGGTTGAAGTGGACCTCTAATGCCATGCCTAGAAATTTGAACTGTATTCTAAAAAATAGGGTCTCTGGAAGGTTTTTGAGCATAAGAATGGCATGATCATATATATATATATATATATATATATATATGATATATATATATATATATATATATATTAAAATTTTTATTGGGGAATTGGGGGAAGGAAAGAGCATTGGGGAATCGAAGAAGGGGAACAGATAAGTTGCTATCCTTTTGTTCTTCAGTCCAGTTGTGGAGGATGTCGCTTCACTGGCCCATGTTGGTATTATCATTGCGCTCCTCCCAGGTGAGGCCATTGGACAGCAACTCACGGCAGCACACAGCAGCTCACGGTAGCTCACACCGGCTGCCGGGCCAGCCCCACTGCAGCCTATGCTGTCGCCAGCGACTCATGGCAGCCCAGCTCCAGGTCGAGCTGTTGTTCACCATCTTAGCTGTAAAGGGCGCTGCGTCAACTGGCCCTCATGTGGGATTCAAATTGAGGCCCTGCTGCTCAGAGCTGGTGTCCCAAGCCAACTGTTAACCAATGCGTTCGGCCGGCCTCAGAGGCACATATATTTAAGAAATTACTTGTCTTGTGCTTTGCTTTTCGCTTAATTTTCCATTATTTTCAGCACATATTTGCACTTTAAAGTCTTTTCTTGGCAGCTCATCTTCTCTGGTCACTGCATTCCTCAGCTCCTTGGCCTTTTCCCCAAGCTCGCGAGTGAGTGGGGAGCTGAAGAGCAAACCACTGAAGCACTGACTCCCGGAGCAAGAGAAGCTGAGCAAGGCATTCATTAGAATGACATTTATTGTTCCCAGTGACTGTAAGAACAATAAATGTAAATGTACTGTTAGGTCACAGCAATGCTGTTTTCATTCGATATTCAAATTACCTTTCTAACCAATCCTTAATTTAAAACAAACCAATTTTGGTTTTGGGGAAAAATGTATGAAAGAACCTTACTTTACCTGTGATTGTCTTCATGTAGGTTTCAATACAGCCAAAGGGGACTTGGTGAGATCCATCCTCTACCCCCGGCCTCTGAACTTCAAACTATACAGTGATGCCTTCAAGTTCATAGTGTTCCTGGCCTGCCTCGGAGTTGTGGGTTTTTTCTATGGCCTTGGTGTATATATGTACCATGGAGTAAGTACTGGGGTTAGGGTGTTCTAATAGAGTAGCTTTCTCAAGGAGCTTGACCTAACTCAAGAGGGTTACATAGGGTTACCTCTTAGTCCTATCATTCTATGAATCAATGCTGTCCAACAGAGCTTGCTTAGATGAAGAAAATATTCTGTATGGTATCTATGCTGGTAGTTCTTAACCATATGGCTTACGAGCATTGATGTGTGGCTAGTGTAACTGAGGAAATAAATTGTCAGTTTTATTTTATTTTAATTCATTATTTTTAATTAATTAATTCATTGTAATCAATTGAAATATTTAATTAACTTCCATTTAAATAGCCATATGTTGTTAGTGAAAATTGTATTGGATGGCACAGCTATAAAAAGTTGCAAGGTTCATGGTTCCTTTAACCACTGGATGGGAATGAGAGGTTACTGTATCTGTGGCATTGGTGATACCCAAGCCCAAATAGCCTTAGAAGAAATACATGCTTCTTAAGCCTGATAAGATAGGAGGATTTAGTTAATGAGATCAGAGAGCAGGAAGGATGTACTAAGTTGAGTGAGCAAACACAAAGGAAAAAATGCACATGGGTCTCCTGGAACCAGCAAGCAATTAAGAGATTAAGTCCAGCAAGGTAGAAATAGACCAGACTGAAGGGGATCTTGAATGCCATACCTAGAAGTTTGATTTATTCGAGAGTGTTGACATATTTGAGTGTGTACATTGTCCAAGGCATACCCAACATACCATCTAGTTAATGAATTGCCCCTGTGTTTTGTTCAGCTCTGAAATGAAATTAAATATCTACTTTTACAGAGCTTCATGATGCATGGACCTTCACTTTTTATTAAGCTTCAGGATGTCTGGTTTCACTTGGATTTCTCTCTTAACAACTGTGGCGGCCAGAGAGGGAAGAGTTGTCACAAATACCTCTAAGTTCCTTTCTGGTCTTGAGAGTCTGATTCTGTTGTGAACCATGTCTCTTCTGTGAGACATGTTGGGATCTTAGCAATGTGGGTTCATAGGGAAGAAGAAAAAAATGTGAATAGAAGGATCCCAACATAGGTATGAAACTGGCCGTAGGTGACCTAATTATAATGCCCCAACTGGCAGCATCAGTACATTCTGTGTGTGTGTGTGTGTGTGTGTGTGTGTGTGTGTGTGTGAGTGTGTGTGTGAGTGTATGTTGGAGGGAGAGAGGAGTGAATATTGATGGGCAAAGATACCGGCATTTGTAGGCAATGTTCATGCTCATGCTTGAGCTCCAAGTAGTCCAAACTGAAATAAGCCCCCAGAGAGCATGTCTAGGGCAGGTGAGGGCGAAGGATGCCAAGACATATTGGCACCAGTAATATGGCCCCTGGAAAGAGCTAGGCAGACTTTCAAAGCCAGTAGAGCTTGAATTTGAGACAATGTGCCAGTTTCATCTGGGGAGCAGGAGGGTTGAGCAGAGAAACAAGCAACAAACCATCTCCTGTGGACCAGAAAGCCCTGGAAGTGACTGGAAAGGAAGGTTTCCTGAGCAGGACTCAACCCAATACACACCAAAGCAGCAGTGTTAATTGCAGACCCCATATTCTTGTGGGTCAAAACCTGTGGACCTGTTGGCTGCCTCTATCTGTACTGGCTCAGAATTAGACTGGCCTGAGTCCTCAAGGTCAAAACTCCTCAGTGGCTGTGGGTGGGAAAAGCAGGGAATGATGGATTTTGTGATAAACTGAGATTGGTCCAAAGATGTATCTAGCAGCCACTGCTACTGAACTGGAATCTGTGTTTCCAGTACTCAGAAGAAGACTTTATGGCCAAAATTATGATTAATTTCATAAAAAACCTAGGCAAGTTTGTAGAGGGTAGAGTCATTAATATCTAGAGCATGTGAAAAATAAAGCAAGCTGTGATTTGATCTTGGCCTTGCCTTTATCAGCCCTGTGAACTTCTTTACAGTTGCCTGGCATCTTGGCTCCATGAGAACTGGCTTGATAATATAACACACTGGTCACACATTTGTCTGTCACGCTCTAGTCAGACAGACTAGAGTTCAGATTCTCACCATTTAACTAGCATGTGGCCTTGGGGATGTTTTCAATTTTTTATGCCTTGGTTTCCTCATCTGTTAAATGGAGAAAATAACAGTATCTACATCATAAGATTGTTGTGGGGAGTAACTGAATAATATATGTAGCCTAACACAGTGCCTGCTAACAATGTGTGTGTCCAGGGAGAGCAAGCTATTTTTATTATTGGCTTCTCTATAGCAGAAAATATATGCTGAGATCTTAGCAGAATCCTGGTTATAGTTTTATCAAGTCACTATTCGTTCAGTTGAGCACCTCCTTTGTGTGAGAAACTGTTCTAGGCCTTCTATCTAGAAATGAATATGATGAACTCAAAGATGACTTCAAAAATAAATAAGCCACATCTGTGTGTCCAAGGAGTTTGGAGGCTAGAGGTGGAGAGAGATTTATAATTCAAGAGTCAAGCCACTGGTTCAATGTTACAACTCAAGACAGTCCCAATGCCCTGGGAGTTCAGAGGGTGTGTGGATGGGCAGAGAAGGGATGGCACCCTGCGTGGAAAGCATGCTAAGTGGAGAGAAACAGTCAGGAAAGGCTTGGTGGATGTGTTCTGCAGTGGGAGACGATTTTTCCATTGCTTAGGGACAACCACGAGAACACTCAGCCCCACCAAGAAAACCAACTCACTATGACTATCCTGGGCTTCTAGAGCCCCTGTGGTGTTGTAGGGGATGGTGCCAGGAAGGATGCCAGCCTACTCTGCTGGGCTAACCTGTATGTCCCTGCCCTCCCCAGGTTCCTCCAAGAGATACCGCCACCATGGCCCTGCTGCTCCTCACCGTGACTGTCCCTCCTGTGCTGCCAGCTGCCCTGACCACAGGCATCGTGTACGCACAGAAGAGGCTGATGAAAAAGAAAATCTTCTGCATCTCCCCACAGAGAATCAATATGTGCGGGCAAATAAACCTCGTGTGCTTTGACAAAGTATGATTTCAACTTCCCAGGTTGGAGGTTCATGATTTTTAAGGCACAACAGAGCTGGGAAGGGCCTCCAAGAAGGTTTAGTCCAGCGCTCTCATTCTACAGATGGGAACACAGAGGCCAGGGAAGGTCGCCGAGTGAGCTAGTGTGAGATCATGTTCTCGAAGCCTACTTTACTGAGCCCTAAGGAAGCGGGTTAGCCATCACATCATGAATTTCTTCCCTGTGACATTTAATATTGTTTTTGTTCCTGTTGTGGGTTTTAAAACAATCTCTTATTATACTAACTTCTATGACTGGCTGGCTTTTTTCAGGAGAAAAATATGAGGAACATTTCAGCTCCCTGAAGTGCTTTGTCCTGAGCTTACATAAACATATTCCTTTCTCCTCTGCTTCTTTAAGGAAAGGGAGGGAGTGGCCATTGACCCATGTTTATGCACTCGGCCCGCATTTTCTCCTTCCCTCCCCAGGTTATTAGGACTCAGCACTAGGGAGGTTGTGTCCATGTTTAGGGTCCTGGAAAGGTGGCCGAGCAGAAGTATGTTCAGATGGGGAGGACTGCTGCTGTGGGACAGGTCCTGAGATCCTTTTTTTCCTCTGGAGGACCTGGGGGGACTTCAGTGTCAGCTGTCTGCTGTTCAGGTCCTGCCCTCGGCTCAGGCAAGCCAGTTTCATGGCTGTAATGCAGTGGGCCTGGCTTGTTCCCTCCACATCTTCAGCTCATTTGCATTCGAATAACCAATAAAGGCGTTGCCTCTTTTTAATTAACCCACATTGGTAGAGGGCTGCATTAATGAGATGTTTCTAGCTCTTGAGAAGTTCATGGCCTAGCTGAGGAAGCAGGTAAATGAAAGTGTAGACATACAGTGTGGTGGTCAGGCCTCTACACCAACTATGAAGTGGTCTCCCTAACAAGACATGCATCCATCTGTCCCCCTCAAAAATATTTACATTATTGATTGTATTCCCCAGACTGTCTTTTCTATCCCTGAGGCCATATTCTAGTTACCAATTTGTATTGTCTCATCCCTTCCCCTTCTTTATACAAATATAACCCTAATTTTAATTGAAAAAGATGAGAAAAATAAAATTACTCTGCCTTAATGAAACATTAAAATAGATTCTACTATTTAAAAACAAAAAAAAGCAAAACAAACAAACAAAAAAACCCAAAAAACAACAACAACAACAAAAAGAAAGTATAGATAACAACAATGCAGGGAGATGCATGCTTAATAGAAGTATGAGCAAAGCATTGAGATGCAGTTACCTGCCACAGGTGGGAGGTCACCTTAGAGCTGTGGTTTTGGTTATTAGACAGAATGGGCTCCAGGCTCAGAGGTGAGCAGCTCAGAAGCACAGGGGTATGAGGGCCTGCAGCATGTGGGTAACGGGTTCAGTGGGGTATGGCTGGAATGTGAGCTGTTGGGAGGAACCCCATTGCTCAGGGCCTGATATGCCAAGATATGTAGCGAGGCCTTGTCATGCAGGAGAATGGGAACCCTTCTCGCTTTTTTTTTATGAAGACCAGTGACAGTTTTATAAGTGTGTTTTAGTTATCCTATCTGGGAGAATTGGTGAGAAGGGACAGAAGAAACATAGGACTGAGGCAGGAGGCTGGCTATTTGGAGCAACTGAAGAGCTCACTCATTGTCCTAGACAATGGGGGCAAAAATGGAGAGTAGGGGACAAGTTGGGGAGACACCATGAGCAGACCTGACAAGTCTTAGTCTCCAGTTGGAAGTGGCATAGCTCTTATATTATTTTAGTTCTCTTCTTTTCATATGTCCTTTGGCACAGAAAGTCTTCTATTGTCACCTGTGATGAACCAGTAGGGTTAACTTAACAGTAGCTTTCTTTAGATTCAGGGCCAGATATCAGCCCTTTGGATATTTTCTGATAGGAATTTCCATTACTTACCCATCAGCCACACTAGTGTCTAGAATATAGGAGGGAGATTTATAAAACGTCTTTATTATATATTTGGTTGTTTCTAAAACTAATTTTTCCAGAGGGTGTTTGTCTTACTTCCCATACAAAGTTTTTCCTCCCCATCCTTATGTGCTCCTTTGCTGGTCTGTGTTAGAGAGCACTCCTCCACTTGCTTGGCCAAACTCCGGCATGCTATCGTGCAAAGAACTCTTGATTGGGAATGGAAAATGAGAAATCTAATCCTGAATTTGATACTAAGTGTGAATTTTTAAGATAACAGTTGAACTACAATTATCCCTAAGTTTCTTCCTACCTTTCATATTATAAAGCTCTACTGGCATGATGTTGGGATAAAGCACTCCACAATTAATTGGATTTCCATCTAGTGTTATTTCAATTTAGAAGATATTCACCACTGAGCTTCTGATTACATTTGTTACTGTATACATTTCTAGTTGACAGTGGTTTGTTATAAGCTCTCTAAAAGAAGTTCTCTCTTTTCTATTCAATTCAGCTCAAGCCTGGGCTAGTATTAATGCTAAGAGATTTTCTTTATTTTATATCTTTTAGAACCTCAGCTATAATTTAGTTTTCTCTCTATTTTACCGTTGGTTTTATTGCACAAGGGTTATTTTCACATAGAGAAATAACATGGTCCCATTTCTGTTTTGCTGTGGTATCATCTCTGTTTTCATGTTGAAAATATTGATGTTTAAAGACATAATTTAATCACCAGGAAAACATCTGAGTTTGGACTAAGTTGCTAACTCTTTGAAATGAAACATCTCAAGGGGATTTAGAAACACGTAGGTTGAGTCCCTTATAAAACGCAGGAGGGGAATGAAGCAAACAGCTTTTTGTTGTTGTTGTTCTTCAAGGACTATGTTACATAAGCATGTTAGCTCTCTATGAAGTCCAAATTAATTAATGAAACAAAGATTTCTTAATTCTTCAATCTGGAAATCAGTATGGGCTTTGTCTTTCCATATGCTTTGTGGAATTCATTTACCATTTGCTGTCTAATAGAACACTCTAGATGGCTGAGTTCTGGTTCTTTCTCTCCAACTGAGTGGCCATTGTACCAAGGCTGGTCCATTCCCCTGTGACCTGAAAATGTCTCTAACTTATTTACAAAGTTGTAAGAATTGAAAGCATTGTGTACACTTCACTGTAAAGCACTACACTAATGGGATGTGCTGTAGTAATAAAAGATGCCATTTGATAAAAAACTAGAAAATTCAGAGTCTTATACAGAGAAGACCTTTAAAAAGTACTGTCAGGGACCTGGGTGTCAGTGTTGAAACAGGATATTCCCCAAGACTTGGTAATGCTTTCTCTGCCTTCATAGTGTTGTTGATCCAGTTGTAGTCAACTCCTTAGTTTGAATGGGTGTTAAGCAGGCCTACAGCTGTTAGTCTACCAAGTGAAGATAGTGAGATCTGTAATTAATGGTCCGCTGAGAAGAATGAGCAAATTGAAAGTTTTATAATAGTGTTCAGTTCTACTTTGCTTTCTCTGTCACATTAACTGACAGACACTCCTGTAATACAGAAAATCAAATCACCCCACCATTTTCCTCTTGATCTAACAATAAAACCCACCCATGGACATTAATTAATATTTATTTAGTACTTTGTTGCTCTTTTTAGTCTCAAAGCCCTCTATCAACATTTCATTATCAATCTGGACAGTCACCACCACATCATGCATATTTTAGAAACTTATGTGAACCAGATGGCAGACTGTGAACTACCGTATTTCCCCATGTATAAGACACACCATATTTCAAAAAATTTGGGGTCTAAAAACTGGGTGCATCTTATACAGTGATTGTAGATTTTTTTTTAACTTGCATTTCTCGCTTTTTTTGCACTTGTAGATTTTTTTACTTGCATTTCCCGCTTTTTCACACTTATTGTCTTTGCGCTCATTGTTTCGCACTTGTTACTGGCATATTGCAATAGGTTACATTTTGCCACATTCTGCCCAGAAATGGCTCAGAAAAGATTTTCATACAGTGCTGAATTCAAGTTAAAAGTGATTCAGTTTGCAAAAGTGAATGGAAATCGTGCTGCTGAACATAAGTTTGGCCCTCCTCCAACTGAGAAAACAATCCGAGATTGGCTATGGGAAGAAGAAACCCTACTGAAAATGCCACGGCAGAAGGCCATGAGAGGCAAGTCAGCAAAATGTCCAGAATTAGAGAGGGAATTGAAGATATGGATTGAAGAGCAAAGGGCAATTGGGTGATTTGTCATCAGACACTGATGAGGACAAGCTAATGGTTGGGAGCTTTGACAGTGATGAGGAGTTGTATGAATTTTATGATGAATAAAACTTGAGTTCAATATCTTTATGTAATACATATTTTTTCAAATTTTGGGCCTCAAAATTAAGGTGCATCTTATACATGGGGAAATACGTTAATCCTAAAAAGAAAGAAAAAGATTCTGAGCTCTGGTCTAGAAAGACAGCAAGTGCCAACTAAAAGTCAAGGCTGGCTTTTGTTGGATATCCTTTCACTGAACATCTCTCCTTTAACAAGTCACAACAATAACAAACAAAAACAAAACGCTTCCATTTTGTTGTAACGGTTAGTAACTAGAATCATCTAATTATCAACATAGTCTTTTGGGAATCATTCGGTCACCTGATGAACCTTTCTTTTAGGTGACCTTTTCTGATTTAAATTTTGATGCTTACAAAGAAGGGCTTTAGACAGCTAGATCTACTTTAATTGCTGTAAATCATGATATATTTAAAAGCTCTAAATATTATGCTAATATCAATTCTAATTTTTTCTAGACTGGCACTCTTACAGAAGATGGGCTGGACCTCTGGGGGACTGTCCCTACTGCTGACAACTGGTAGGCACCTTAGTGAAGGAGGAAGGTGTGATTGGTGAAGCTGCCTTGGCATTCCTCAAATCCATCCTTCTGTAGTTGAGGGATAATGTCACGTAAAATGTGTATAATAATTGCCTGGAACCAGCTCCCAATTACTCTAATTTTTTAAATTATGTGAGTTCCAATTTCAGAATCAGACAGGGAAAGTAGGCCCTCAAACTCCACATGCTAAATGGAAAAGACTGAGTTGGATAATTAAGAAGCTAAATCAATAAAACTGAGAAGCAAAGAGTAAAACCAGGACTGTGCTGAATTAAAAACTGCAAAGAAAAGAAGAGCTCCATCTCCTACCTTAGAGTTCACACTCTAGCGGGGTAGAAAGGTGCAAATGCACCCACCTTCAGCCTGCAACACAGGCTGTCAAAACGGTGACCATTAAGGTGCAAATATCAGAAGAGAGAAGAAATAATAATGACTGCCTGATATAACACATACTCCAGGTTTTTATAGTAACAGTGAATAAAAGGTAGAAATTAATTTTCACCTGAAACTAATAATAAAAAAAATTGAAAATGAGTGGACCAAGGAGATTTAGACAGAATTTGAGATTAGTTTTGGCTAGAATCTTTACAGACATGGGCTGAAAGCAGGTACTAGGGTGGGGAGAAGGCAATTACAGGGATGTGACCCCAGACAGAGCTAGGTAAGGGAGGGAATGCCCCTCCCCGGAGAGTGCTCCCTCATTGGCCTGGAGGCTTATTACCTGTGGTGTGTGTCTTTCTAAAGCCAGCTCTGCGGAGTTTGCAGGTATCATCTCTGAGCCTTTCCACACAGTGCTTTCCCGCAACACTGCAACCACGTGGGTTGGCTGCAAGTGGCCTGACAAAAGTTCCTGTGATTCTGCCCTCTGAAATTATAATATGTACTGATCGACCAGTGGCAAATTCTGTGGAGAAGGAAATTCAGATCCATCTCAAAGGAAGTTTTTATGAAGAGGAATCTGCAGGCAGACAATCCAGTTAGAAAATGAGGAAACTAAGGGAGCAAGGGAGGCCTCAAGGGCAAGGCAATACCTGCCCGAGTATAGAAATAGCAAGTTCAACTTGGCTCTGGAAACATTTTGCATAAAGCACAGGAGTAGGAGTAAAATCTGCAAGGTATTGGGTTGTTGGAAAAGTCATGATGTCTGTTTGCGACAGATGGCACTCGTTCATTTTGGGAAATACTAGAGTCATTCCCATCTATGTTATTGCTATGTCATTTGACAGCTGACAGTTCTAGCTTCATTCTAAAAGAAAAATTGAGTGATTTGGTTGAGTTTTGGACATTTTACAACAAGTTGAAGATGGAAGACCAAACTCTGCATTTTTGCCATATTTTACTGTTTTACTTCCATAAAGGGAAGAACATGCATCAAGCTTGTGAAAAGTTGCATAAAGTTTACAGTGACAATGCTCTACAAGAACGTCAGTTCCAAGGATGGTTCACAAAATTCCATGCAGTGATTTTGATCTTTATGACACTTCTCAGTCAGGGAGGCCCACCAAGATCAATGACGACAAAATAAAGGCATTGATGGAGTCACACCCACATGACACTACATGAGAGATTGCAGAAACATTGAACATCCATTATTCAAGCACTCATGATCACCTGAAGAAGCTAGGATATGTAAGCAAGCTCGATATTTGGGTTCCGCATGAACTCAAAGTTCATTTGACGGAGTGTATAAACATCTGCAAGATGGTCATTAAACATGAGGAAAAAGGTCCTTTTTTGAAGCGACTGATAACTGGTGATGAGAAGCAGATTGTTTACAACAATGTGGTGCACAAACAGTCTTGGTCCCAACGTGATGACTTGCCTCAAATGACATTGAAAGCAGACATTCATCAGAGGAAGGTTATGCTCTCAGTGTGGTGGGATTTTAAAGGTGTCGTGTTTTTCAAGCTCCTGCCAAGAAAGCAAACAATCAATTTGAATGTGTACTATCAGCAATTGGACAGTTTGAACGAATCCATCATCCAGAAACGTCCAGAGCTTGTTAATTGTAAAAGAGTTGTGTTCCATCACGATAACGCGAGACCACACACAAGTTTGATCACCTGTCAAAAATTATTGGAGCTTGGACGTGATGTGTTGCCACACCCACCCTACTCGCCTGACCTTGTGCCATCCGACTTCAACTTATTTCGCTCTCTTCAAACTCCTTGTGTGGTAAAACGTACAATTCAGATGAGGCTGTAAATCAGCACCTTGTTCAGTTTTTTTGCAAATAAAAACAGGTCCTTCTAGGAACAAGGAATTATGAAGCTCACTGAAAGATGGCAAAAGGTTATCGAACAAAACGGGCAATATATCAGATTGATCTTTGTTCTTTATATAAATAAATAACCTTTGAAAAACATAGACAAAATGTGTCATGACTTTTCCAACAACCTAATAGTATAGAGCTGGAGCAAAAGGGGCCTTGAATACCAGGCTTAGGAGTTTGCACTTTATCATAGAGGGTATGGGGAGCTATTGATGGTTTTCAGCATAGGGGGGTACATATTATTGAAGCTCTATGTTAGTAAGATTTAAGGGGCACAGTGTGCAAAAATGATTTTGTTGAAGACCTTAATTTATTAATCATCTTCTCTACCAGTTTCCAGGAAGTCCACAGCTTTGCCTCAGGCAGGGCTTTGCCATGGGGCCCACTGTGTGCTGCCATGACCAGCTGCCACTCTCTGGTACTTCTAGATGGGACCATCCAGGGAGACCCTCTGGACCTCAAAATGTTTGAGGGCACCGCCTGGGTAAGGTGATAGTTTCTTGCTTCACCTGAATAAGGAAAACTTGAAGAAAGCCTTACTGGGAGTGCTAAAGCTTTTCTAAGTTTGGTTGAAACCCAGAGAAGATTCATAATAATGCATGAATGAAAGTCTGATCCTACCTGAATTTCCCAACCTCTGCTCCAAGGAACTCTGTTAATGTGTACAGCATAAAGGAGGCTCCCATTATCAAATAAACTTGGGAACTGCTGTATGAACAAAGTGAAATTGATTTGGTAACTACAAGATTTCTTTAATATACCATGGTGTGTTGTGAATATTCAAGAGGGACTAGGTTATGCAGCATTTACCAAACCTATCTGACCACAGAAACCTTATTCACAGGCCAAAACATGTTTTGAGGAAAATAAAAATTATTTAAAACACCACCAGACAAACAGTAGAGTAAAGCAGCGCTGTCAAATATGTAGCCATTAACCATGAGCATTTGAAATGTGGCTATGCCACTGAGGAACTAAATTTTTTATTTTATTTACTTTAATTAATTTACATTTAAATTTAAATAGCTACAAGTAGCTGGTAGCTACTATATTGGACAGCATAGGTCTAGACTCCAAACTAGAGGACTTGAGGTCCAGCTGGTTCAATTTTCTGAGCTGAGAGTGAAAATGGCAGTTGAAGGTTATTAACTCATCCTGTGGCTGTCATGCTATGGTGGAAAGACCTCTCAATTCCACCCCTCTCTAGTTTTGTCACCCCAAATCCAGAACAAGACCCTGAGTCTGCACCTCATCTGTGCATTTGGGACAACAGTGCTTCACTGAAAGACTTGTGGTGAGCATTGAAACTATGAGCCTAAAAGGGCTGTGTGTATTGTGAAGTGCCCAACAAATGGAGGGTATTCATTCATTAGTTAGCTGATTACATTCTGCTGCCCTTCAAAAAATATTCTCAATCTACTTACAATGATACACGTCCAGTACAGGATAGTATTTTAAACAGAGTTGTAAAGGAATGGAAACAAATGATGGTAGGGACATGAAGTACATCTCACAAAAAGGCTAATTTAAAGATATTCAGTAGGAAACTTGTAGATTTCTAGAGGCCAAAGTAATAACAGGAGAATCCTGATAAATAGGGACATTTCTGATATCAGCAAGTTAAAATGAGAGCATTTGTGTGGAGAAATGTTTGACACCAAGACGAAACAGTACTCACTTTTATGCATCTTTATGGAGAAGAATCAGTGTAATTATTATAAGGAGTGTCTGTACCAGCATCACTAAAGTTGACACAATAATGAGTTGCACAGGGTCATTATTATTATATGTGACTTTGATCCAGGTTCTAATAGTGTCCCCTTCTCCATCAGAAGAGGGTTGATATAGCTGTGTAAATGGCAGACAAGTTAGGGTCTTGTGTAAGAACATAAATAGTATTAGCTCTGTAAGAATTGTTTTAAAGAACAATTATACCCACCCCAAACAAAGCGTAGAAGTGCAAGATTATTCACTGAGTTTAAAGCTGAAAGTGAGAAAGTCTTGAGTTAAACATCTTTTGGTAGTTAGAAGCCTTTCCCTAAACATAAGGGCAAGAGAATATGTCCCTATAGACTATAAGAATTTTAGCACTAGAAGGGATGTCAGAATATTTTTCAGAAGAAACTGAGATACAGGAAAATGAAGCAATATCCCCAAGGTTAAACAAGTGACAGAGTGGAGACCAGATGTTATCTCCTATTTTTTTACTTCTGTTTATATGTGTGACTACTTTCCCCATATATTAGGTTACTATTACTTTCTCAGGTGGTATAACTTACACTGTTGTAATATTCAAAGAATACAAGCCATTTTTAAATATGCTTTCTTATTTGCTAGCAGCTAACTTGCTAACTCTCTAGCTAACCAATTAGACTAGTAGCATAGATATAACATAAGAATAGTCCCATGCTATAATCCTAATTCATCTGAGAACTAATGGGCTCAGCTGTATTGGAAAGTAGATCTGTACTTAAACCTTCCTCCAATTACTAGACATACCATTTAGGAAGAGCCATTGGACTGTAACTAGCACTTCTTCCATCATTTACTACTTAAAATGCAGTCACAATATTCCTGGCTTTTTGGCATTCTACAATAAGGTCCTTTAATGTAAACCAATACAACAGAAATTTAACAATGATGGTATTAAGATAATTGGCTTAGAAGAGAAAGCATTGAAAAGGGCTTTGAAAAGATTAAAGCGTTATGTAAATGAGAGGAATTTCTTTCTTATTATTTTTCTCTAAGGAATCTTATGAATGGTTTCATTTTAAAACAGATAATGGAAGATCGCAATGCAGACTTCTCCAAATTTGGGATGTCAGACTCAAACATAATAATAAAACCAGGACCAAAAGCCAGTCAGGTATGATTTTCTTCCTGAAATTGTATAGATCTTTCCCCTTAAAATTGGTGACACTCCCCTGACTTTCACATATTTTTATATTTTTATTATTTTGCGTTATCCCAACAGTGTCCATAGTTGGTTTGTTAATTCTTTCATCCCTGAATTTATCCATTAATGTATCCAACACTCACTGAGTATCTATGTATACTAGAACACTGTGCTAGGTGCTAAGAGATAGAGTGATTTCAAAGCTAGACATGCTGGGCTCTGTGTTGCAGGAGCACATGGGCTGGTAGAAAAATCAACGGAGGTGCAAATAAGTGTAATACAATGGGCCAAGTGTTCTAGTAAAGGCTGAAAAAAGAACCAGAGAGGACCAGAGGTGGGAGTGAATCTGGGAGAGAAGGACCACAGGGGAGGTGAACTGTGAGCTTGGCCTGGAAGATGATTTCTCCAGGCAGCCAAGGGGAAGAGCCTTGCAGACTAGACAACTTGATGATGGAACCTTCTTAGGGACAGCCGGAAAATACCAATGTTGTGACAAGTATACCACTTCACGATGTCCCTGGGCTTACTGTAGAGGAAACCATATTTGTTGGTGTGCATCTGCTAAACCTCACTAAAAGCTTTTTTTTAAATTAAAGTTTATTGAGGTGATGTATATATATATGTACACAATGGAATACTATTCTACCATTAGAAAAGATGAAATAGTGCCATTTGTGACATGAATGAATCTTGAGATTATTAGGCTAAGTGAAATAAGTTCAAAGCTTCTTGACCCCCTTTCTTGGTCCACTTGTAGAGTCCCGTGCAAGCCATCACTATCTTACGCCAGTTTCCATTTTCCTCGAGCCTGCAAAGGATGTCTGTCATCGCTCAGCTGGCAGGGGAGGATCACTTCCATGTCTACATGAAGGGTGCCCCAGAGATGTTGGCCAAGTTCTGCAGATCCGAAACAGGTACTAAATGGCACATTTCTCTTTCAGGAGGTAAAGTATTTTAAAAGCCCAAACACATAAAGCAAATCAGGCTAAATCAATGAATGTGAAGGTGGTTGTTTTCTCTGTGGGTGGGCAGTGGGATCAGTAGATTTCATAAGGCAGAGGTGGAGATTTCAAGGCAGAGAGTAAATACCCTGCTGTGATCCAGCCAGAAAAGTCCAACCATGATGGAGTGTCTGGGAAGGAGAAGTGAAGCATCAGGGGCTGGAATAGGAAGCCACAGGGCTCAGAGAACCTGGGTGGGTAAGAATGAGGAGCAGTCAGAAGAAGGAGCCAAAGGGGAGGGTGGGACACTAGACTAATTCTGCAGGCGGGGTGCTCCATTACTTCCGGGGAGCTGGCACCACTTAAGGGGCCTCAGCAAGATCGATGGAAGGAGAATGTAGAAAAGATAAATCTTTTAGGAAAAAAGTAGTTAGAGTAAATTAGATGGTATGAGAGCAAGATAATTGATCATCTTCATAGCAGTTTCATCTTCCTGGGCCAGATTTTGAGCTGATTTGTATTGTTTCTTAGTCTTATAAACATATGCACCCTCTAAGCAGCAGCCCAGATTTATAAGAATATTGTTGCATTCAAATGAGTTCATTTGGATAGAATTGGCCTTTTTCTCCTTATTTTCATCGATATGCTCTTTATGATTCCTAATATCCCTCAAATTATGCACAGAAGTTTTGATTTGGCAAATGACTGCTTTAAGTTATCCTTCTACTTGGAGTCTTGCATGCCTTAGAAATGCCCCGTTTTTCTGACGTTGATCTTCATAGCTCCCATTAACTCTGTCCTTCACAGACTGATAGTCTATACTTCACTCTTCTTTTTTCCCCCCAGCCATACAAATGAGTACCTTCTTGAAATTTTAACTGGTAACTATTGTCCCTGCTCTATCAGTAAACGTTTGGGCCTGTCACTTGACACCTCTCATTCTTCTGATAGCCTATTTAATTCTTCTTATTGTCCTAAACCCTGATCCTTGACTTATGCTAATATCATCTTCAGTGATTTTTTTACCCCCCCATACTTAAGAAATGAGAGGTAGAAGCATCCTTGAAATTAGATCCCACCTCCAACATTATTTTAGAATTACAGCAAGTCTGAGCTGAATGGGTACAGAGAGATCCACATCCCCTCATTTTATGGATAGTAAAATTGAGGTGCAGAACAGAGACTTACCATGCCCAAGGTCAGAGACCTAGTTGGAAGGAGAGTAGAGATTAGAACTCAGGTGTTTTGCTACCTAAGTCACCACACCTCTGATTATACTGTGCTTCTTTCTAATGCCTTTATAGGCACACTATAAACCATAAAGATTTTATAAATATACTAACATTAGTTATGATCACCATGTCAAAATACACAAATGCTGGCATTGTGTCATCTATTATCTAAAGCAGGGATTGGCAAACTGTTTTGTAAATAGCCAGGTAATAAATAATTTAAGCTTTGCATGCCACATGGTGTCTGTTTCAACTGTTCAACCTTCCCATTGTAGCCCCAAAGCAGCCATAAATGATAAACAAACAAATGGCTATGGCTATGTTCCAATAAAATTTTATTTATAAAAACAAGTGATGGGCCAGATTTGACCTGTAGTTTGTTGTCCCCTGATCTAGAAGACTTGTTGTTTCCCTCATTTCATCCAGGTAGACACAGTCCTGAGGTCTATCATTACTGGACCCAGCCAGTGTATTTGACACTCAGTTGATGACCAGACATCTTAGGCATTCATTTCTGTCAGATTAATAAGAACACGCTGACAAAGTTGTTTGTGGCCTTTAACTGAAGCTGTAGTTTTTCTATGAATGCATTTTTATGGAGTGAAAGTTAAAACAAGATATAGTGACTGAATCCTAGAGTCTTGCTTAGGAGTTGGGTGACCTTCAGTGTGACCTTACATTTACCTCTCCCTTCTCTCCTGACAGTGCCCAATAATTTCCCACAGGAGCTGAAGAATTACACAGTGCAAGGCTTCCGTGTCATTGCCCTTGCCCATAACAAGTTGAGGATAGGGAATATTTCAGAAGTGGCGAGTTTATCCAGGTAAGAAACTCAGAAATCGGCACTAGGGCAGGCTCTGTGTGCATGGAGTGAAGGGGCCTGGGAGATGGATGGATGAACAGCTTGAATCACTGGGAAGGCACTTAGAGATGAAGAATCAATCTCATCCAGTCCCCTAATTCAGAGATAGGCAACTGTAAGCCACAATGAGGACTTGATCAGGTCACAACGCTGGTTAGTGGCAGAACCGGGATGGCAGTTGAGATCTCCTGACTTTCAGATGCAGGGAGTTATCTCTATCCTGAATTCCATCATCTCACCAAAAACAACCAACCTCCATCAGCCACAGAACATTATGTGGCTGACTGACTTGGGGTCCTACAGACAAGGGAGTTGAGGGTGAGAGCTGGCACTTTGAAAGTCCTCCAGAGTCGCTCAGACTCAGCTTCTTTCTAGGCTCAGTAATACACCTCCCTCAGATCTGGAGAGGGGGTGAGTGTAAGCTGAGTGCCTTATAGAAAATAGAACTCAACATTCTTAATTACAGTAAAGGGATAAATTGTCCTCATTAGAGGATAATCTATAGGTTATTTCTCCTTTTAATGTTTCTCGGTTTTTAAAGATTGTTTTTGAATTGTCTATGACAAAGCAGTACAGAGATACTGTGAAAAATTGAATAACAAATCATCTATGCATTAGTTATTTTTTATTTTGTGTTTCTGAAAGATACTTATTTATGTAAAATTAGCTCCTCTGCATAAGATATGGATATTTTTGGTTCAACACTACTGTTTACAATATAAGTCCATCTACTCTGTTACGATCAGGAATCATTGTCCTTTTCTCCCACTATATCTATTCCCCAAAACATAGGATTGGATGATCTCTAAAGAGTCTTTCAGCCACGATGCTTTAATCTTCTATATAGAGCCACAAAACTCATTTTGAAATATACGAATGGCACTCTCAGATTTAACATTCAAGGTGCTAGCTATTCTTGAGCAAGCATAAAGACCCATTACACACAGGCTTTTATAATTTTTCAAGTCACAAATTTTAATAACGAATGTTAAGGTCATGTGTAAAGAAAAGATTTATGTAGCTTGACATGCAGTGTAGCCACCACCCAGAAGCCACATACAAATGAAGTTGCGATGTTCTCAATTTAAAAGCCACTAGTGAGATAGACTTTATTATAAATATAACAACATAAGAAAATGAGGATAAAATGATATATTTCCAACCATCTTAGCTTTTCCAAGAGAATTTCAGGAGCCTACTATGCTTCTTGGAATTTAGTTACTGTTTTCAAACAGGGTAAATGAATAGTGTTTTGATATGTTTTGGAATCAAATTATATTCAGCAAAGTTTTCCAATTAGAAAAACCAAAAACGTCTTAAAAACTGACGTCAGAAAAAAGGGAGTAGAAGAGTTTCTTGAGATGATTAAAAAAAAAACTAGCTAAAAAAATAGAAGAAATTTTTTATCAAGATTCCCCCTTTCATTGGTTTAGTAAAGCTCTATCGAGCTTGACTGTGTGAGATGCTCTTTAAGGCACTGAGGAATCAGAAGTGAATAAAATAAAATCCTTTCCCTCAATCCTATCCTAATTGGAGAAAGTAAATAATGAATCAATACAATATTGTCAAGTAGTGATTAAATGCCTTGAAGGAAAAAATAAAGTAGGTTAAGAGGATTAAACAAAAATGACAGAGGATGCCATTTTACATGGGGTGATTAGGGAAGTCTGAGGAGGTGACATTTGAACAGAAATGCTGGTAAAGTCAGGGAGTAAGGCATGCAGATATCCAGAGGAAAAGCGTTGCAGGCACTAGGAAGAGTGGATGCGAGGGCCCTGACTCACACAGGGTTTTGCTAGAAATGTTGTAGAGTTAGGAAAGGCCAAAATGCCTAAAGTGGTGAATGAGGCGAAGAGTTATAAAACTGAGAAGAAAGACAGAATAAATTGGTGAGAAGATTTTTGGACCTTTCTTTTAGTTCTAGTTAATGAGAAAATATTAATCCAATTTATAATGGAAATTCATGAGGTTAAAGGATGGGATTTTAACAGGTTCTGAATTAAGGTAGATTTTCTTTTATAATATTTCCTGAGATCACTAAGGCAGGGTTTATATCTGATTATCTGGGTATTCACCAAAGTGCCTAACATAAGATAAAAAATAAAGCAGTTACTTAGTGAATGAACTTTTGAATGAATGTAGCGACTTAACACGGTACCCCAGAGAGAAGTGTCTTCATTATGTTCCCATCCAACTTTGAATTATATTTCCAAGCTTCCAATTCTGAAAACTATTCAAATCCTTGGCTTATAACATGTACTTACTGGAGAATACAGTTGGAAGCTAAAATGAATGACTCCATATTCAACTATTACTATAGTATGTGGTATGCAGTATATACTTAATAAATGTTTAATAAGCTTGAAATTTTTACAAGCTCAAAAAAGTTCATGGAAATTAAAAAAATATATAAATTATTAACAAAAATTTAAAAAACTGACAGAAGAGTTGGAAGACAAACACATTGTTTTTAAAAAAATAGCTGAAAACTCTTGGGTTGTCAGAAAAGTCATGACGCATTTTTGCACCGAAAAACAGAAAAAATATGGCATGGCTTTTCTGACAACCCAACAGAAGAAGCAGCTAAAAGATATAAAAGTGGTTGCTGCCTCTGGAAAGGAGAAGGTGGTAGGGACAGGGTCTTTTGGTTTTCACTATAAGCTTTTGGGTTCTTTTTTGATTTAATTAATATGTGCATATATTATATCAATAAAACTTAGACATTTTAAAATGAAAAAATAAATCCAACCCTTAAGACTATATAAATAAGCTTTAACATTGACTTTCTCCTGAATCCAAAGAGAGACGGTAGAGTCAGAGTTAACCTTTCTGGGACTTCTCATAATGGAGAATCGCTTGAAAAAGGAAACCAAACCAGTGTTGAAGGAACTGACTGAGGCCCGCATCAGGACTGTGATGATTACCGGTATGTGTTTCAGGAGGCCCAACAAGTTAAATGTATCCCAGGCATATGAAGAAAATCATGGGATTTGGCTGAGCTGATGAGACTGAGGCAGAAATAATAATAATAATAATAATAATAATTAATAATAATAATAATAATAATGCTTTGCTGTCAAATTTGTTACCTGGGGTCCAGTTACCTGGGAACCTGTGTAGCTCCCCCAACACCACCACAAGCTTTGGAGGCAGGAACCATATGTCATTCTCCTTGTCTAAGGCCCCTCTTCCTACTGAGGATCGGCACAGTGCCAGTGGGCACAATAAATGGTTAAACACAAGAATGGATATGTTTTCATCAAGAACCCCAACGATACCTCCGTGTAAAGCGTGTGAGGCTGCTGGACTGTCCTTCAGGGCAAAGGGACCAGGCACGACATGAGATGATCAAATCCAAGCATGGCCCAGCCTGTGTTCTTTTCTCAGCTTAACTGGAATCCTGATCCTAAGGACGATTTTATCCTATCAGATTGGGCCATCTTACCTTCACTGCTAAGACCTGTCAGTCTACTGAGAATTAGTCAAAAGTGCTAAACATTTACTTATTCATCTGTGCATGTTTTGGAAATATGCAATGTTCAGCACATGATGCTGTCAGGGGGGAAATACAGACATAGTGTTTAGCCACTAGGAGTAGGCAGCTTGGACAGAGGAGAAAATAAATAGTTATAAAATAAGGTAGAAAGTGATAAATGCCCCCAAAGAACACCAACAAAGTGGTATAGACACTCGGGGGGCAGGCAGCTCAATTCTGGTTGCCGAGAGGTGTATACATAAAGCAAACCAACTTTCTTTGTCATCTAGGTGACAACCTGCAAACAGCCATTACTGTTGCAAAGAATTCTGAAATGATTCCTCGAGGGAGCCAAGTGATCGTTGTCGAAGCCAGCGAACCAGAAGAGTTTGTCCCTGCCTCTGTGACCTGGCAGTTGGTAGAGAACCAAAAGAATGGACCTGGGAAGAATGTGAGCAATGTTAGAAGGCACTCCGTGGCCTGGTCTGATGGAACACAGTCCTGGCCCAGGGCAGCCTTCCTTCAGCATCACAAGTCGTTACAGTAATAATCCTCCACATCTATCCAGAGTTTTACAGTTTGCAAAGCATTTAGCATTTCCACTAGCACTTCTCAGCCCTGGCTGCACACAGGAGTCACCTGGAAACTTCCAATGCCAAGGCTCTACCAATTAAATCAGAATCTCTGGCTGGGGGCCATCGTCAGCCCTTGCTCCCAGTGAGTCCAATGGGCAGTCATGGTTGAGAGCCACCGATTTACATCCATAATTCCCATTTAATCCTCACAGTTACCCCACACACGTGAGCAAACTCTTCATTTCACAAATGAAATGAAAAAACTAAGGCCTATGGAGAAATTTGCCCAACCTGGCAAGTTGCAGAGCAGGAAATCAAATTCAGGTCTGTTTGATTCCACCCAAATCTCCCAGCATTTAGATTGTGCTGTGCCTGTGATATGCAGTTAACAGGTGTTGGCTTCTCTAGGGAGTAAGCTCCCTGTGCACTTGCAACAGGACAGCTCTTTCATATGAAGGGAATGGCTGCAGCCTGGCATTCCATCACTGAATGAGCACTTCTCTCTTTGTGTGAATTCAAACAGATGGTCCTCCAGGTGATAATTTACAAAAACGCTTCCTTCCTTTAGGCTGGCCAGCCCTTTGGATTAAGTGTAGAATACACCTTTGTTCAGTATACAACCTGCACAACTGTACAGAGCAGTCCTGCCCTTACCCTGTGAATAGGTGTGTTAACTTCGCTCAAACCACAATGAGCTGAATATAGACTTTTACTGAAGTTTTGGTTTGTTGCTGGGAGTAATCACATCACAATCACAGGCTTTCTTCCTCTCTGGCTCCCTGCCACCATACTTTCTTTCCCAGATTCTAGGGAAAACAAAAGGAACCCTGTCCTTGCCTTATGTGGAATGCTTTAGAGCAAGACTTTTGTTGGCTATTTCACCAATGGGAGGGGTGTATCACCTTGCCTTCCAATTCAGCACATCAAAATATTTTTCTTCCAAATACTGTGCTTTCTCTAAGGTGAATTCCTCTAATGAATAAAATTTTCTCACCTATTCTATCTGAATTTAGAATCCTACACAGATGGAAGGAACTCTGAGAAATGTTGCATGAAAAACCATTATCACCTATTGACATTACGAGTGCTTATGCATTCATCAGATGCTTTCCTTGGGGCTGAGCCACATGGGACTAGAACACAGTGATGGGGGAACACTGACAAGTGAAAGACAGGAGGGAAGGATTTCAGGAAAGGAGCAGTGCTGCTGCCGTGGAACATAGGGTGTGAAAGATCTGGGCATGATAGGGAACAGGTTACCTACTGGCGGGGAGAGAAGTTGGGGGCTAATAGGCTCTGAAAAAAGTCTGCCTATTTTACATTGAAGACATTGGGCATGGTTTTTGAAGGAAAGAATTGTAAGTTATCTTAGAAAATAAAAGACTGCACGATGAGAAGGAAGAAGAGGGAAGAATGTCCCCATTCTTCTTGGAATCACTAGTTGGCATCTGGGAATGAATCCTTGGTAGACATCACACATTATCTCCCAATATAGGATCCAGAGCATCACGTTGGCAAGGTGTTGCATGTTTATATAATTTTGGAAAACATTTTGAGTGTCTTCTTCACATAAGTCTAAGTTCCATGGACAAATTACACAGCACGTGTAACGTTTGCTGGCCCTCACATGGCTGTGACATATGAATATACTTCCTTCCATAAAACATAGGAAAACAGAGACATTCTTTAAGGGCTGACACGGAAATGGTGCCTTTTGATTTTAGGAAACCTGCGTTAACATTGGAAACAGTTCAGTGCCTGCTGGAGAGAAAGGGTGCTGTTATCATTTCGCAATGAGTGGGAAATCATACCAAGTGCTACTTCAGCATTTCAACAGCTTGCTTCCAAAAGTAAGTACTGGAGAAATGAAGTGTTTTGTTTCCCTCCTCAAATTAGTGAGGCAAAAAAGGGGAAGGGAATAGTGAAGGTGAGGATCACTGAGGTCGTCTCATAGCTAGAAAATAAACACCCCACAAATGGCTACCGCCCCTTCCAAAATTTCCTGGCCCCGCCCACGCCTACTTGGTCCTGCACATGCGCATGGCTTCCTCTTCAGAGTTTGAGTTCTGGTACTGCCCATATCCCTCCACCCCTCCCCCACACACAGAATGTCCAGGTAGTTCCAAACATGCTGCCTGTTTTGGGGGTCAGCTTCTCGCTGAAAGCCACCAACTCATGTCAGGATGAGCTCTATTCCCCTTCTTGTCTGAATTCTTGAATTAAAGCAGGAGGAAACAAAGGCTCCCTGGTTCATTTTCAAAATCATTTATTATCTTGTCTTCTGTGTGTCCATTTAAAATAGTGCCATCCAGCGTTGTGCTGTCAGGGTGAAGGAGATAAGTGGGGCACAAGCGAGGGCAGCAGCCATCTGTTAGCTGTGTCTTGAGAATTCTGTCATTTGACCAGTCAGGGACCACAGCATCTAGACCCCAAAGGCTCCCAGAAATCTGTAGTCCAGTTCCTCATTGTAGAGATACGAAAGCTGAGATTCAGAGAGGTTAAGTCACTTGAAGGTTTATGCAGCTCGTTGGGACAGAGCTGAGGACAGAAGCTTGTTTCTCAGCTCCTCATCTATTGCTTCTTTCTGTCTATATTGCAATTGTGGAGACAGCACTTAGCAAAAAAAAGAAAAATTTTCCTTAAGCATTTTTATCCCATATGCTCTGCTGATTTTTAGTTATTGTTATTAATTAGAAGTTTTCCCATCTTAGAAAAAAGGCCTGGAAAGAAGTAATAGAGTTTTGATGGAGGACTGAAAGTGAAAGTTAAATATTAAAGCATTAAATCCCCTTTTTCCCTTTCCTGACATTTGGTCTAATGACACACCACCCAATGCTATATTAAAATAGCAGCCGGAAGTGATTTTTCAGGACTGTTCTTTTATTTAAAAGTGTTCTTCTTTCTAATTTTATTGGAAGAGTTTTTCTCTTTAGGTTCTGGTGAATGGAACCATTTTTGCAAGAATGTCTCCTGGGCAGAAATCAAGCCTTGTTGAAGAATTTCAGAAATTAAAGTATGTGTCACTGCATGAAATGATAGTGTATCAATTATCTACTGTATAATGAATTACCCTGCAACTTAGTGGCTTAGAACACCACTGCTTGTTATTTTACAATTCTGTGGGTCAGGAATCCAGGCGTGCTTAGCTCACTCTCCTGACTCCGGGTCTCTCACAGGGCTATAACCCGGTGTCGCTAGGATTACAGTCATCAGCACTTGAGGGGCAGGATCTGCCACTGGCCTCACTCACGTGTTGTTGGTAGGATTCAGCTCCTTGTGGGTAGTTAGACTAAAAGCCTCAGTTTTTCACTGCCTGTTGGACATTACCCACCCTCAGTTCCCTGCCACATGAGTCATTTCATAAGGAAGCTCACAGTGTGGCAGCTGGCTTTCATAAGAGTGGGCAAAGAAGAATGAGAGAGAGAGAGAGAGAAGTCACTATTTTTTATATCCTCATTTCAGAAGTGACATCCCATCACTTTGTCTATATTCTCTTCATTAGAAGCCAGTCACTAATTGCAGCCCACACTCAAATAAGGGCATTATACAACGTCATGGGTACCAGGAGGTGGGGATCACTGATCCCCAGAGAGCAATTTTTTTGTGGTCCACAGAGCATGTCTCAACGGAAGATCGCCTGCTTGGATAGAGAGAATAGAAACAGTAGGGGCTTGTATAGCTCAGAATGAGAAAAATGGGGAAGTGTGCCAGTTATCACCCAGAATTATTTGAGGTGAGTTAATTGGAAGATATATGAATAATTTCTATTGGGTTGTCGGAAAAGTCATGACGCATTTTTGCAATGAAAAACAGAAAAAATACGTCATGAGTTTTCCAACAACCCAATAGTCTCCTGGGAAAGAGGTGGGATGGCATTCTCACTGTATTTGACCTTGGCGGTGGATGGGTCAAAGTGAAAAAAAAAAAGTCCTTCCTTATCTCCTTCTAAAATATAGATGTCCAAGTCATGTCAGAGTGAAACCATTCTCCTGAGACCAGACCTACCTATTACTTGCCGGGAATGTTACAATTCCTGGGCTGCAGATTTCTGAAAAGTGAAAAGAAACAGAGAAAGTAGTGAAATTCTAGATAATTGCTGATAAATAGTAGGTAGAATCAGGAGACTGCCTTTAACTATTATTTTGTTGTTGTTGTTGCCCAAACATTCTTGGGAAAGTTTCAAAAACTGCCTATTAACTCCTATAATGCCTTGAGTCCGGGTTAGTTACTAGTGTCTAAAATGACTATTTCACTTACATGGTCATTATGTGATATTGGCTGACGAAAGTAATTTTACTCTTCTCAAATGCCTGAGAAATTTTGCCAACTTAAATGCTTAAATGTGAAAAGCTATATTCCCCTAAGGAAAAATCAATTCAAGAAGATACATGCTGTCTAAAAATGAGCTATCTTCTCAATTTCCCAATTTTCTTCTTCATGCCTTTATCATTGGCAATGTACATAAGGTTATCGGAATTTGCTTTCTGAATTCAGGGGACACTAGAATATGAAAGACTCTTTGTATGATATAGAGACTAGAGATGTGCTTTAAGCCTGAAGGAAACTGTTTTCAGCAAATGCACATAGTCATCACATGTACATGAGTGCATACAAATGTTTATAGGGCGATTTTCACATACACTAGCCAAATATTAGGTTGAACCATATGAGTTTGTTTACATTTGACCATTTTCGATCTATTAAAATGGGCACCTCTTTGTCAAGTAATAATAAAATTCTCCCCAAATTTTATTTTCCCATGTATTGATTTTATTATATTGCATGTGTTTTTCGCAAATTACAGCTGAGCCTTTAATAGTATTATCATTAATCAATACCTATAATGTATTATTTACTTATAATAAGAGACAGAGTGTGTCTTGAATCAGAAATTTGGGTTTTTTTGGCAACAGCCTTTAATATTTACTCCTTTATTTATATCATTGTGTTTATACATCAAACAGGTATAATGTGAGCATATTATCTAATTTTCACTCCAAGATGCATTGAGAATATGTGTGTGTGTGTGTGTGTGTGTATATATATATATA